TGCGTTATTGTACTGGCCACACAGAATGAGTGTCACATGCTTCCATTCTGTCAGGCCTACCAGCCGGAAATCAGTGTCAACTTGGAGCAGGCATGGAGGGGTGCGAATTGGGTGCGTTATTGTACTGGCCACACAGAATGAGTGTCACATGCTTCCATTATGTCAGGCCTACCAGCTGGAAATCAGTGTCAACTTGGAGCAGGCATGGAGGGGTGCGAATTGGGTGCGTTATTGTACTGGCCACACAGAATGAGTGTCACATGCTTCCATTCTGTCAGGCCTACCAGCTGGAGATCAGTGTCAACTTGGAGCAGGCATGGAGGGGTGCGAATTGGGTGCGTTATTGTACTGGCCACACAGAATGAGTGTCACATGCGTCCACTATGTCAGGCCTACCAGCTGGAAATCGGTGTCAACTTGGAGCAGGCATGGAGGGGTGCGAATTGGGTGCGTTATTGTACTGGCCACACAGAATGAGTGTCACATGCTTCTATTATGTCAGGCCTATCAGGTGGAAATCAGTGTCAACTTGAAGCAGGCATGGAGGGGTGCGTCTTGGGTGCGTTATTGTACTGGCCACACAGAATGAGTGTCACATGCTTCCATTCTGTCAGGCCTACCAGCTGGAAATCAGTGTCAACTTGGAGCAGGCATGGAGGGGTGCGAATTGGGTGCGTTATTGTACTGGCCACACAGAATGAGTGTCACATGCTTCCATTATGTCAGGCCTACCAGCTGGAAATCAGTGTCAACTTGGAGCAGGCATGGAGGGGTGCGAATTGGGTGCGTTATTGTACTGGCCACACAGAATGAGTGTCACATGCTTCCATTATGTCAGGCCTACCAGCTGGAAATCAGTGTCAACTTGGAGCAGGCATGGAGGGGTGCGAATTGGGTGCGTTATTGTACTGGCCACACAGAATGACGAGTGTCACATGCTTCCATTATGTCAGGCCTATCAGGTGGAAATCAGTGTCAACTTGGAGCAGGCATGGAGGGGTGCGAATTGGGTGCGTTATTGTACTGGCCACACAGAATGAGTGTCACATGTTTCCATTATGTCAGGCTTACCATTCGCTTTGTCATGGCTGAAGTGTCAGCTGGCTCGCTCAGACCTTGACAGCTCGAGCAGTTTGACAGACCGTTAAGCTGCTCGAGCTGTCAAGGTCTGAATGAGCCGCTCGCCGCTTGGCTGGTGCTATGACTCTGTTTTGGTTGATGATACCTTTAAGTTTGCCAAGTGTCACCATGTCGACGACAGTTCACTAAAGTCAGGTCTTCCTCCTGGGCATCAGTGTCAACTTAGAGAAGGCACGGATGGAGGGGTGCGTGTTCGGTGCGTTAGTGTACTGGCCACACAGAACGAGTGTCAAGTGATTCCGTTATGTCAGGCTTACCGTCTGCTTTGTCATGGAATGAAGTGTCAGCTGGCTCTCTCAGACCTTGACTCCTCGAGCAGTTTGACAGACCGTCCAGCTGCTCGAGTGGTCAAGGTCTGAATGAGCCGCTCGCCGCCTGGCTGGTGCTACTCTGTTTTGGTTGATGATTCCTCTGCCAAGTGTCACCATGTCGACAAGCAGTTACGGTGCAGTGGATGTCGATGAGTGTCAATCCATTAAAGTCAGGTCCTCCTCCTGGACATCAGTGTCAACTTGGAGAAGGCAGGCAGGTTTGCGTATTGGGTGCGTTATTGTCCTGGCCGGTCAATTGCTCCTTAATGTCAGGCTTACCAGCTGGACATCAGTGTCAACTTTGAGCAGGCATGGAGGGTGTGTGTTGGGACCCAATAGGCCCCCTCCATGCGTGCTCAAAGTTGACACACCTACCAGCTGGAGATCAGTGTCAACTGTGACAAGGCAGGCAGGGGTGCGTATTGGGTGCGTTATTGTACTGGCCACACAGAATGAGTGTCAAATGCATCCACTATGGCAGGCCTTCGTCTTGGAGATCAGTGTCAACTTGGAGCAGGCATGGAGGGGTGCGTCTTGGGTGCGTTATTGTACTGGCCACACAGAATGAGTGTCACGTGTTTCTATTATGTCAGGCCTACCAGCTGGAAATCAGTGTCAACTTTGAGCAGGCATGGAGGGGTGCGCATTGGGTGTGTTATTGTACTGGCCACACAGAATGAGTGTCACATGCTTCCATTATGTCAGGCCTACCAGCTGGAAATCAGTGTCAACTTGGAGCAGGCATGGAGGGGTGCGAATTGGGTGCGTTATTGTACTGGCCACACAGAATGACGAGTGTCACATGCTTCCATTATGTCAGGCCTATCAGGTGGAAATCAGTGTCAACTTTGAGCAGGCATGGAGGGGTGCGAATTGGGTGCGTTATTGTACTGGCCACACAGAATGATTGTCACATGTTTCCATTATGTCAGGCTTACCATTCGCTTTGTCATGGAATGAAGTGTCAGCTGGCTCGCTCAGACCTTGACTCGTCGAGCAGTTGGACAGACCGTCCAGCTGCTCGAGTGGTCAAGGTCTGAATGAGCCGCTCGCCGCATGGCTGGTGCTATGACTCTGTTTTGGTTGATGATACCTTTAAGTTTGCCAAGTGTCACCATGTCGACGACAGTTCACTAAAGTCAGGTCTTCCTCCTGGGCATCAGTGTCAACTTAGAGAAGGCACGGATGGAGGGGTGCGTGTTCGGTGCGTTAGTGTACTGGCCACACAGAACGAGTGTCAAGTGATTCCGTTATGTCAGGCTTACCGTCTGCTTTGTCATGGAATGAAGTGTCAGCTGGCTCTCTCAGACCTTGACTCCTCGAGCAGTTTGACAGACCGTCAAGCTGCTCGAAGAGTCAAGGTCTGAATGAGCCGCTCGCCGCCTGGCTGGTGCTACTCTGTTTTGGTTGATGATTCCTCTGCCAAGTGTCACCATGTCGACAAGCAGTTACGGTGCAGTGGATGTCGATGAGTGTCAATCCATTAAAGTCAGGTCCTCCTCCTGGACATCAGTGTCAACTTGGAGAAGGCAGGCAGGTTTGCGTATTGGGTGCGTTATTGTACTGGCCGGTCAATTGCTCCTTAATGTCAGGCTTACCAGCTGGACATCAGTGTCAACTTTGAGCAGGCATGGAGGGTGTGTGTTGGGACCCAATAGGCCCCCTCCATGCGTGCTCAAAGTTGACACACCTACCAGCTGGAGATCAGTGTCAACTGTGACAAGGCAGGCAGGGGTGCGTATTGGGTGCGTTATTGTACTGGCCACACAGAATGAGTGTCAAATGCATCCACTATGGCAGGCCTTCGTCTTGGAGATCAGTGTCAACTTGGAGCAGGCATGGAGGGGTGCGTCTTGGGTGCGTTATTGTACTGGCCACACAGAATGAGTGTCACGTGTTTCTATTATGTCAGGCCTACCAGCTGGAAATCAGTGTCAACTTTGAGCAGGCATGGAGGGGTGCGCATTGGGTGTGTTATTGTACTGGCCACACAGAATGAGTGTCAAATTCTTCCATTGTCAGAGTGTCACGCCAGATTTTGGTTTCTGCCTGCTCCTGCAGGCCACCATCGTCTGAGCTGCCAGTGTCAGTGTCGCATTTTTCTTGTTACCACTGTTCACATTCCACATGATCGCGGGAGAAAAAGAGTGAGTGATTGCTGCTTGGTGTTGCATTCACATGGATGCACAAAAACAGCCCGGATCCATAAATAATTTTCAGGGCTGCCAAAGCCCATCCCAGTTCAATATAGAGTATAGCAATATGAAATAATGTACTAACTTTAAGATACTGTAATAGAAAGAATAGAATATTTACGTGCGCACGCAAACGTACACACACTTGCGAATCACTTGTGCCTCAGTTCAGGGGCTTATGGACAATTTGGGTTATGGTCGTGAAGTGGCAGGATTTTGGTAAGTAGCAGTGCCTATGCGCATCTGTGCCGGCACCTACCTTGTCGGGAGGTTGCAGCACTTGGCTCAACTGCAAGCGTGCGCGTTTACTCAGTTTAGTTTTATTGACTTTGCCTCTCCTAGAGCCATCGACCCACAAGCCCTCTGAGGCTGAGTGAGACATGCAACTCCACCAAGCAGTTCCACGGCTGTAGGAAGATCGTGAGGCCCATCCCTAAAGCCTAATCCCGCAGTTCAGGGTTCAGGGTTGAACCGTCGGCTTTAAACTTTAGGCCTTCAGCCTCAGCAGCACCCTTTTCGTGACTTTGTGCTTCGGAATTATGGTTTTGATCTACGGTGGGAGAATTGGTCCGGTGTGTTTCGAGGCTTCGGGAAACATTAGTTCAGTGCTTAAGTTTAGGGGCTTGTCTGTGTATCGATCCTTTGTAAGCTTTCAAGTTTGGGGCTTAGCAGCTCAGCGATTTGGCAGGTGATAGGAGGTGCAGGCCTGGGGGTTTGCAAGTCAGGCGGTTCAACTTAATCCTACAGATGGCTGTTGGAATGAATCTCTGCATATGTCGTTTTTTAATACAGTTGACATATGTTACATATGAATATGCAGATATTGACACATGCAGCATGGGTACACACGTGCATACATGCATGTATCCGTACGTGCATGGATTTATACATATGCAGATTCGGAACATCTTCGACTTGAAACTGAGCCGAATCAACACAAACTCTAACCCTCGCAGACACTCGAGCGTGCCAGGGAAAACTTGTTGCTTGCCGCATGCGATGAGAATCGATTTAGACATTGGTCTCTGTTTGCTGCAGGTACGGTTCCGGGTCTGTGATAGGTAAGATAGTACCCTTAGCTTTCTTCAGAAACATGTTCTGGCTCTGCAATGCCATTATCGCGTTGGCCAGAGTCTGCACCCCGAACCCCGGACCTAATCACACACCCTGAGCCGCTGACAAGCCCTCACCACCCTAAATCGTACATGCAAGACCCTAAACCCAACCCCCAAAACCTAAACCCCGAGGCGATGCCTCGCACTTCGAACCCTGAGTTCCAAGGCCCTAACCCCCAAACCACAAGCCTGAAGGCCTAAAGGCCCTCCACGCTCCTTGCTTTTGCAGGCCTTGCCTAATGCCGCCTCTGGATGCCTGCAAGTTCGATGTGCGGATCCCAGAACCCAACAGGTTGAGGATGTAAGGCTGTGTTTACGGTTTATGGGTTTAGGCTAATCGTATCCCCCACCGCAACAATTTAGCAACATGTTATTCTTCCGTGTGTTTCATTGTGATTCATAACTGGTAGTATTCCTTGTTCCATTGCTGTGTCTAACCCTTGAGCCATAAGCCAAGCCTTCGCTAAACCCTAAATCCCTAAATCCTAAATCCCTAAACCCAAAATCCCTAAACCCTAAATCCCTAAATCCCTAAACCGCGCTGAACCCTAAGCCCGACAAAAGAGATCTGAAATTCTGGAGCCTCGCACCACCCCAAACCCTAGACCGCTAAACTCTCAACCCCCAATACTTCGGTTGATGATACAGGGGTTCCTTTAAAGGGATCTATAAGGGTTCCTCTAAGGGATCTACAGGGTTTTAGGGTTTGGGGTGTATAAATCCTGCATTACCTTAAGGACCCTAAAGTATGGGAATTATGGTATATGCATTACCTTAAGGACCCTAAAGTATGGGAATTATGGCATATTCCTTCTCATGGGGTAATGCAGGATTTATATCATCAGCCGCTGCACCTGGAAAAGATCCTACAACCCTCAAAGCAAGCGACTCGCAATAGCATAGAACGCATAGCGACAAGATAGCGCCCAAACCCTGAATGGGGACCCCTACCCTATAATGGGCTATATAATGGGTATATAATCGCTATATTTAGGGTATATACCTAGGGGTCCTTATTAAGGGTCCCTCCTTTTCCCCTTTGAAAGCCGGAAACCCTAAACCACAAAGTAATCTAGAAGCCTAGTGGTCAACTACCAACATTACCTTAGCGTGCCTTGCAGTAGTTGTACTATCACGTGCTGCTACAGCTCTACTGAAATCCTATGCACTCCTTATAAACACCCTTAAAGGAACCCTGACAGCGACCCTTTTTGATTATCAAGGACCCTGGTATTATTTACACAACAACCGGCCTCCGACTGAGCCAACTGAACTCCATTATAAACCTTTCAACACTAAACGGGAGTTTCCAACAATTAGGGGTTACCTTGTTTTAGGGGGGTCCTTATAATAAGGAACCTGCTATTTAGGGTATTATATCAAGGTCCCCTGTTTTCGGAAACTCCCAAACCGTATAAACCCCAGAGCCCTACAAGCCTCGAGCCGTAACTAGAGCTACTCTGACATGAAGCTTATTAGAGTTGTGACGGCCCCGAAAAAATAGAGCCCCAAACCGTACACCCTAAAATCAAAGCCTCAACCCTAAACGCGAGATCTACCAAACCCCGAAACAGAGCCCTAACCCGTAAACCCTAACTAGAGGTCTCCGACTGCGCCAACGTCCCAGCAAACGGGACTTGCACGATCCGCTGCTCCGGCCACTACATTGGAGAGCCTGGAGCTCAGCAAAGGAAACGAACGAGAACAGTAGTAGTACTCCTAAAGTTAATGGTAATAAGAATGGTAATAACAATGATAACACAAAGTATTAAGAATAGTAATACTACTGGTAGCATTACGATCAAGATGTCTTCTCCTGCTGAACAGGGCTTTTCCCCATGTGTGTTTGAAGTGCCTTATAGTGTTTCGATCGGGGGTGCTGTGTCGGGTTCATTTGTTTTTTGTGCAAGGTCTTTAGACGTGTCGAATACAGGTTCTCAAAGTTTCCGAAGGGCTTCTCTAGGGGTTTAGGGGTTTAAGGTTTGATATTTTGGGGTTCGGGATACGGTTGCAGCTCATGGGTTTATAATTGATTCTGGAAGTCTCATGGCCCCAACCGCTGAAGAGCGAAGCCCTAACACAATGAGCCGAGCCTTAGACCCGGAAAGCAATAACCTTTCATCCCTGGTTTTTTATGTGGCCCACAAATCCTAAAACCCTAAAGCTAAACCCGTATATTACCCGATATTCTGGAACTGCAAAGCAACCCGCTTTAAATTAGATTACCATATTCGTGAGGGCCCCCCAAGGCAGCCAAGGCAAAGACAATTTACGTGCATTCCTACACCCCGAAGCCTGCTGTAGTCAATAAGGCTCCTAGGTTGTTCCTCATAAGAACCTTGCAACAGGGCTATTCTACTGATTGAGACCCCGACATAAAGCCCTTGAACGACTAACCCTAAACCCTAAACCTGCTTAAAGGAATCCTCACAGGAACCCTATTCTGATTATTAAGGCCCCTATATCATAGACCCCTACTTTAGATCCCTTAGACACCCCCTTTTAAAGGCACCCTTACAAGGAACCCTATTCTAAATATTGAGGCCCATATGTGATAGAGCCCTCTTATAGGTCCCCTTTAAAGGAACCCTTAAAAGGAACCATCTTCAACCCTAAAAACCCTAAAAATTCCTGCTTTGAGTATCTTGGCCCCTACGGCCGAGGCCGGTAGTCGGCCGATGCCCTGCAGGTGCGGCTTGTAAGTTAGAAGCTGCCCCCCCCCTGCAATAGGAAAAGAAGGGGTACCTTACTTTGGGGTCCTGATAATAAGGATCCTACTATTTAGGGTACTCTTTAGAAGGGGCCCCCACCCTGTAATAGTGGTAAAATATACTAGGGCCCTAATATAATCCTTATGGTCACTATTGCAGGGTGGGGGCAGCTTCTAACTTGTAAGCTTCCGTCGTGGAGGGAGCCTGTGGATCATAGGAACGATAGTAAATAGCACTAAAGATCGTACTAGTAATTAGTAGTACTAGTAACAATAATGGTAATAGCAATAGTAATTGCAATAGTAATAGCAATTGCAATATAGTATTAGTAATAGTACTGGTACTGGTACTAGTACTAGCAAGGTTTTCAGGCTCCGATCAGAACCTACTCCCGACAGCTGGGTCTTAGTTTCAGTCATTGTCCATAGTGTAGGGGCTTCAATAGTCAGTGCTGGAGGTATATTGTAGTATGCCAAGAACAAGGAACCCTGAGGAACAGTACTAGTAATCATTTAGGCCCCTACATCAGTGGGGGAGCTCGAGATTCTTTCTCAGAGGCTGAAACAAGATGTGAACATCGCGTCGCTGCGAAGAGACTTCCCTTTGCTGGCTTCGGTGAAATCCGGCAGTCTCTCGATTGAGGTTTGTGCAGAGCCAGGAAGCTTTGCAGGGCCTGACAAACATGTATGCCGTTTTTTTGACCAGTACTGCTACTACAACTTATCAGCGCTTCTATATGGGTGATCATGTCTCCGTCCACCCACCTTTCCATTTAAATCTGCGCTCAGCTTCCACGTTAACGTCCTGGGATGCCTCAACGCGACATGTAGAGAAGGCCCCAAACCCTAAACCCTAATGCAAGCCAAATGCAGGGAGAGGCGCAGTTCGACACCGGAAGCAATCCCTGCAGACTGGCAGAACCATTTCGGAGTTTCCCAAAATAGGGGACCCTGATATAGTACCCTAAATAGTAGGACCAAAACAAGCTTCCCCTAGTTTTCGGAAACTCCCATTTGGCAGTGAAATCACAGTTAGTTGTTACTGTGTCTTTGTTGTTGACTTTAAATTTTCGACCAACACATCCTGGAGTTAGACATCGTTAAAAGCGACACCCTAAACCCCCAACCTTGACAAAGCCAAAGCCCGAGACCCCTGATTTTCTAGCTGTTTACAGGAAATGTGGATGACTATGGCCTGGTCTTCGACCAGCCACGCTGCGTCATCGAGGTGACCCAAGTGAGACTTCGGCGTTAGGGGTTCAGACTTGAAGAGATTTGTGATTAGGGTTTGAGGGTTTAGGGTTTAGGGCGGGCTTAGGGGTGGTTTGAAGATTTTGGTGAGTGTGGAGCCCGAATGAAGCTGTCTGAAGCCCCACATACAATGCGGTGTAATCCATTTCCCGGTAGTTGGCCGGTGGCTCGAAGAATTGGCAATACTAGCGGAACATGCCGAACGTTACTGTAACAATAACAATAATGGCTATAGTAATAACAACCCTAAACAATGAAAATGCTAAACATTTTCATTGTAACAACAAAATAACAGCAATAAGACTATAGTCGCAGTAATAGCAGAAATTACAATGATGCTCGTAATATAGGCAATGCGAAGAAAAAAGAAATAATGATGAGCTTACTGCCCTGTGCTATTCGGAGCCCTGCTCTTCTCGGCAGCAGGATCCGGATTGTCCACTTCCAGAGGAAGCACCGGAAGGTTGGCTTTGGGTTTAGGGTATGACTAGGATTTGGGGTTTAGTGTTGGGTGTTTAGGGTATGACTAGGTTCCTGAGCAGTACCCTTTTGCACGTTTCATTTTTGGTATTAAAGTCGAACAGTAGGAACAAGGGTACCCTTGTTATAAAGCGGCTACCCAGGAACCTAGGACCTAGTACAGCCCTACACCGTGACACCCCTGCTCAGCTCATACACCCTCACTGTTAGTATGGGGCTCATGTTGGGTCGCGCGTTCATCGAAGGGTAAGTTGAGCAGAGTTCATTTCAGACACTGTTTCGTAGGAGGGATACGTATTAGGTTTTATGCAAATGTGCTTCAAGGCTTCATAGTGCAGCTTCTCCATGCGGATTTTTTCTGTAAACACCCTGAGGATGGGTTTGTCAAGATGGTGGCTACTTCTGAAGGTTGCTTGCACCAGAAACCCTAAACCCTATGAACTAATAATGCCCCCCTTTTTAGTGAAGGCTTTACATAGTCTTGCAGGCTTTTGTAGGGTGCAGCTGTGTTTAAGGTTGGAAGTCTCAGGCTCGGGTGGTTATATCCTCGAGCCCTACGCCCTCAACTTTGCCCTAAACCTTAGAGTCTAAAGCCCTTAGCCCAAAACTTGACAGTCTTGTGCTCAAGCTAAAGGAGCCGAGATGCTTTGAGATTGTTGAGAAGCCCTTACGATACCCAAACTCAAACGGTACAACATACCCCGCAACCCTTGAAAGTCCATAAGGTGCCGGCCACTCTAAGCCAGAGCCAGAAGGCAACAGGTTGAAAACAAAGAGCCGCAGTCAAAATACTGCTTCACTCATAGGAGCCCTTAGGGGTAGGCTTGTTGAGAGAGTATAGTACCCTGCCCCCCTACCCCCTAATGGTTCCTATGACTCACTGTCACCCTGTAGTCCGTATGCAAGCGCTGCTAAAATCATTCTAACTAGGTATCGATGTGGGGAGAATGTTTTACAATTTCCGTTGTTGTTTGACATAGGGCCTTGATTATAAATGACATTGGGGATTGTTGAAATCGACACATAGTATTAGCTATTCATGGTCTACGGCATCCGAAGGGTTCGAAGGCATTGTCCCCGGCTACCAAGCTTCCGGGACTTGGGGTGTAAGTAGTATTATTAGGGAGACCCCTTAAAGGGTACCCCTTCTGAACCCTACTTCTGGCTCTCTTAAGAGGGGCCTTATTGAGAGGGTCTATATCCCCAAGGGTCCCCCTAATCCTAACTCCCAGGGTGTGGGTCGGACAGGGGTGTTTCAGGGCCTAGAGGCTGAGGGTTTCAGGGGGTTTGCGGCGTTCGAGGGTTGAGATTTGTGGTTAAGGTAGTTTCGGTGCCTTAATTAATATTTACCTATACTATTTTGGGGGGTTCCTTATTATATTTATAGTGCAGTGTATCCCAAAACCCTACTCTAATTATTCAGGCCCCTATATAGTGCGGGCTTCTCCCCTGCAGTGCCAGGATACGCCATTGAAGACGGGGAGTTTGTCTGCGCAGATGGCTATGTAGGCCGGCCGACTTGTGATCGCAGATTCACCCGGGTTTAGGGCTAAAAGTCTCCAAGAGCACACGGCTCTTCGGCGCATCTCCGGATCATTAGGGTAAAATGGTCTCTCGATCCGTGCAGAGCCGTTTACTGCACCGTTCAACTCCCAAACCCCCCAACCGCAAGAACTCAAGGCCCTCAGTTCCTGCACCCTGTCAAGAGAGTCTTCTGTCCCTGCACCCGAGGTGCTGATTCCTGTTGGGTTTAGATGGTTTAACCCTAAACTTTAAACCTTAAGCCCCTAAACCCCTAAACCCCGAACCACTAAACCCCAAACTCCTACACCCCTAAATCCCTAAACCGGAAGTGCTGACAGGAACTTTGAATTTTGACATGGGCTGCGGGTTGAAGCCGTCGACCCTTGAAGTTGCTAACATCGAAGCCTGAAAAAAACTTAGTTAATGAGTTCGTCAGGGTTCCTCGTTGTACTTTTACCTTCCTATACCTCAAAGGTTTAGGGTTTAGCGTTTAGAACCCTAAACCCTAAACCCTAAACCCCCAGTTGAAATTGCATAGTAAGGCACTAATATTGAAGAGATTGCCCTCGCTTGGACGGGATGGGGCCCGAGGTTCTGAGGTCTCTGGCTTTTGGATTCAAACTCCGGCGATCTGTAAAGCAAACAAGTCCAAAGCACCAAAAACTGGAGCTTGTAAAATAATGTGTCCACATAATAAGTATTTCCTCATAGTCTATACCCCCGAACCTTGCAAGACCCTACGAAGTGCCTGGCCGCGGACCCGAAACCCAAAAAAAGGCCGCAGCCCTAAATTATCCCAAACCCTGCACCAAAACCCCAAACCCCTAAACCCTAAACCCTAAACCCTAACCCCCTAAAGAACTCTCCCAGGCGCTAACCCCTAAACCCTAAGCCTCGATCCTAAACTCCCAGAACCCGCAAAGGCCCGAGACCCCAAACAGCCCTAAGCCGAAGTCCAAACACTTGAAAGGCGCCTTCGTGTTGAGCCGCTGCGGACACGACAAGAACTGCAATAAGGCCACACGATAGAGATGTTGAAATTGTATGTATATATATATATATATATATATATACATATATACACACACAGCTTGTGCTTGCTTTTAACTGCATAGGTTCATGGTTTAAACTATATATCAATCTAAAGAAAGGGAGCAAATCCCAAGCTAAAGTCGCAGCCTTCCGGAGGTCCCCCGAATGGGTCGGATATTCGAGAGTTTGGGGTTTAGGATTCGAGCTACGGCTTTGGAGCTGGCGTACCTGAGATTAGGTCTCATGGCTTTTTTGCAGCTGCGAGGATGGAGTACTTGGGGTTCAAGATTTTTCGGGCCCTAAACCATCCAAAACCCGAAAAGCCTAAAGCTCTCGCTTTGGGATTCTGGACGAGATGTTGGGCTTCAGGGATTAAAGTCCTCCTTGAGCCGTCAACGCCTCAGGCTCTCAAACCCATCGCAGGGGAAGCAGAGAGGTTGGGCTCCGAACCTTCTTGCCCTGAACCTGAGCCATAAAAGACGTAATATAGAGGCTTCAATAATTACCAATACTATTTTGGGGGTTCCTTATTATAATTTATGGTATAATTGGCCCCAAAACCCTGTTCTAATGATCAAGGCCCCGATAGTAATCCGAAAGCCTTGAAATCTGAATCCGCGCCCAGCGTTTTGCAGGCCTTGGACCCCATCGGCTGCACGCCGACTGTGTCCTTGGATTGCATTGCTCGAATGTGGGTGGTTGTCAAAATGAGGGTCCCTTGTTGGGTACCCTAAATACTAGGTGCCGTATTATAATAGGGACGCAAAAAGGGGCTCTAATTTTGACAACCACCCATGTGCTGAGTGATGCAGGGGGTTTGTTGAGGGTTTGAGGGAGTCTCGGCGTAGTCGTAATACAGGGGCTTAAACAATCACCAACACTATTGTGGGGGGGCTCCTTGTTATAGTTATTGTTTAATATGCCCCAAAACCCTATCCAAACTATTACGGCCCCCACATTAGTGTAGCATGGGGAGGCTGAGCATCAACCCGACAGCTTCACACAGCTTTCGAAGAGTTTCAAGACAAGCTCGACCCTAAAGAAAATGCATGAAAAGCCGAATAGCTTGAACAAGAAGACAGCCTAAAACCCCACAATCCCTGAACCCAAAAAACCTACAACCCCTGACCCCTAAGACGTGGACTGGCAAGCTTTGGAAAAGGCCGTCATGATAGGTTAACAAGACCCTTGAAATCCCCCAGCTCTAAGCCCCTGAACGTAGCACCCTGAACTACCAAACCCTGACCCGTGGCTCCAATGAAGGGTTTGAACGGAGGGTGTTGGCCTGTTTCTTGAAGTGTGTCAAAGGCCATGGAGCTGCAAACCCTCAACCCAATCTTCTGTGTTTGCATCGTAGACCTCAATTAGCATTAAATGAGATAAACCCTCAACCTTAAACATACTAAACCCTTGTATAGTTGCCCTTACCTCCTGGCCCTTGTGGCCTTGGTGTAGCAAACCTGGATTGCAGGCATCAAAAAGGAGCTCAAAAAAAACATGCTAAACCCCAACACCCCGAAGATAGAGACCCCAAAGTGAGCCCGCGCTTGACGAGGAACTGCGCGCCCCTGAAAATCGACCCATGTGAGCGGGACAACGTTGCCAGGGCCCTGGATCTCCCTTAGGGTTCAGGGTTTAGGGTTTTAGGGTTTTAGGGTTTGTGGTTAGGGTTTAGGGTTTAGGGTTTAGGATTTAGGGTTTAGGGTTTTAGGGTTTGTGGTTTAGGGTTTAGGGTCTAAGGTTTAGGGTATAGGGGTTTAGGGGCTAAGGGCAGCTATAAGTTATAAGTCCCCTAATATCGGTCATAAGTATAGTTGCCAGTTACCCTACTTACATCCCTACTTATAGCTACCGATGAACCTCCAAGTAGGGTTTATCGATTTGTATAGATACCTGAAGAATTACCCACATTATGCCCACGGGCTCTTGAATACCCATCCTTATGTTGGGGTTTGCGGGGCCTTACGCAGCTATAGAGCGTTATTTCGGGGATCCTTACCCGACAAAGGCTTAGGGCTTAGGGTCTAAGCTCCAAAACAAACGGTAGTCTCTTGACATTTGTGGTTTTGGGGTGGGTCCTTGTTTTTTTTTCTGAAAGTCTCAAACGAATCCAAGAAGCAACTACAAGATAACTCTAAACCTTCGAACCCCAACCCCAAGAATCAACGCCAAAGCTGTTTGTGCTTTCAGACTTTCAAACTAATTATGGTTGTCGATTCCTGGGATCTGAGCGTGTTTGCTGTGGTGTCAGCGCAACTCTACCACTACCACAACTGCTACGACTACTGCTAGAAGCTATTACGATCACTGGTTGTTTTTTCTGCTACTAATACTATATGGGTGGTTGTCAAAATTATGGTCCCTCTCTGGGTACCCTCATACAATACAAAAGGGACCATAAGTTTGACAACCAGGTTCGGGCATACCCGGACCCCCCAAAGGGCCCTGTAATAGAGCCCTTATGGTCCTTAATCGGTCCTTAATCGTGGGTATTTAGGATATACCAGAGGGCAGTGGGGGGGGGGGGGGTCTAGGCCTAGGCATCGTTCAGGGTTCAGGCCTTCAAGGTTTAACACTACCCTAAGTCAGCCAGTCGTGTTCAAGCCGGAGGCTTTCGTCATGAAGTCAGTTGCCAAGATGTAATGCCAATGCCCAATGCCCCTGGACGTCCTTAGTAAGTAGAATAGGTTGTTGGCTGTTTTAGGTGCATATTACAATAGATTCAATGTTACGGGGACTGTCGGATTATGGGCGGATCCTATTTCCCCAACCCTACATTAAACTCAGCTCGAACACGGTGAGAACCGCTGAGGGCTGCTGGGACGTGCAGGCGCTGCGAAATTCTCACAGGGCTTTGGGTAAAGGGTGCTTGGCCTGGTGAAGGGATTCGGAGCTTAGGGCCGTTTCAGGTGTAGGAGTTGAACTTCAGAGTCGGTCCTAGTTGATGACTGGGCGGGAACTGTCTGAAAAAGACATCTTATGGCGGCTCGCCTTCCCATCATTCGTGAATCTGGTTGCTTGAGGTTACGAGACGCTGGCGTCAACGCAAAATGGCAGGATCTATTCGTATGATTTTTGGAAGACGGGACCGGGGCTGCCAAAACGTGCATGTATGGCTTTCCCTCCAGAGCCTGTTGGCCTGCGACATGAGGTCTAGTTTTGCAGCCTCTACAACCTTTAAGGCTAAACGTGTGGAAAGCATCCTTCCATCATGAGCACTATGGTGATGCTCGAGTTGACCATCCCCATCATCATCATGACGATGCCTGAGGTGGCACGTCTCAAAGGCCTACTGGCGTACCGAGATTGCAAATATCTAGACTGGAGACTCTGAGAAGGCCGTCGAGTACCTGGCAAGCCGCGACGAGAGAAACTACGAAAAGTTTCCTACCTTAGCACCTGAACCCTGCAGCCTACACTTTGTTGATCCCAAGCCAAAACCCCAAACCCTGAGACTTCCCTTAAGCAGGCGGGCGGGAGTTGCTTCATCCAGTGCAAGCCGCCCTACTTTGGCACACCCACCCTGGCTCGGTGCCCCGTGCGGCGCCCGGCGCTTTCTCACAGAGCCCCAGGCTTCACAGCGGCGGAGGTGATAAGGGGTTAGGGGTTTAGGGTCTAGCGGTTAGGGTTTAGGGGTTAGGGTTTAGGGTTTAGGGTTTACGGGTAAGGGTATAGACAACAATGACGGAGTTGAAAGCTTAACCTTTCTCGGGCTAGGGCACTCGGCCTCTGAGTATGCTGGCCGCATGATTCTTCTTGCGGGTTTGGGGTTCAGGTCGGGAGTTGATGCGTATTTCGGAACAACTAGGGGTGCCTGATTTAGGGCCCATGGAAATAAGGACCCCAGTACTGAAAATCGAAATGAGGCCTGCAACTACCTTAGGACGTCCATCTTGTCGAATCTTGGATAGATGAAGGGCTTTCTGTTTCTTATGACGACTGTTTCCATTAATCACTGTTGATGCTATATTCGCCGCTTTTGCTGCTGTTGCTATGACGGTCTGGCTACCATCAATGGGGCATTTCCAAGACTGCAAGCAGCAGCAGCAGCAGCAGCAGCACGTGGAGCATCATCCATGCTACTGCCACTGCTTTCCAGATCTCATGCTTCACAGGCTTACGGATGCAAAGTACGCGACTTCTGGCATTGCAGATGAGAAGCGTCTCAGGGTTTGTCAAAGACGCAACCCTGATTGTGGGCGTGCCCCCGAACAACAGTAGCAGTAGCAAAAGTCACTGTAAATCGTCACAGTAGCCCAGGGCGTCAGGACAGAAAGCGATGACAGTAATTCCTGCGAGGTCTTCGAGTGCTTATCTAGCTCTTTCGCTGCTTGGGTTCCAGTTTGACAACGAAGAAGACAAAGCTTAGTTAGAATACCCTGTTAGGCCCAGAGTCACAAGAGTTTCACAAGTTGAGAGGCTTTCTCATTCGCAGACCCTGTTGAGAATCCTCTCTATATAGGGCTCAGGATTGCGGACGAGGGCCTGCAGGTACAAGATTTGAGACTTGAGGCGGTACTGGGTTCCTGAACAGTGCCCTTTTGTTTTTTTTTTATTTGGGGGTCCGAATGAAAACCTAATAGTAGGAACATGGGTACCCTTGTTATTAAGGGGCCACTCAGGAGAACCTAGGGTATGGGTTGTTGAGTTTCATCAAACCCCAAAGCTCCAAAGCCCCAGACTCCCAGACGCAAACCCTAAAATCGGGGCCTTGATATTTAGAATAGGGTTTTGGGGCCCATGATACTATAAGTATAGTAAGGAACCCCCAAAATAGTATGGGTATTCATTAAGGCCCCTATATCATAGAACTTGATTATGGATCGCTTTAGAAACCGCTTTAAAGGAACCATTATACCATAATTAATTTAGGCCCCTATATTACATTAAAGTGCCGACTGCAAGGGACCTTCAGAAAGTCATTGCAGTCGTGCGAACTCGACCCTGAAGCCATGAACTCTGAGTCCCCGTATAGAAGGCCCTAATGTAGGAGCCTGATTAAGAAACCTTGGGCCTTTACTAGGGTTCTTTTTGTGAGCCCTACCATTTTGGGGTCATAGGCCCAGGCTTTCTTAATCAAGTTCTACATTACCTTAGACGGACTCCCAAAGCCATAAACTAACAGAATCGAGGCGGGAAACACCGATCCGAATACTCCCCTGGAGTACGACCTGCCGTGCAGCCAAGATAGTACTGGGGGGCCTCAACAGCGTGCAAGGGCTTTCGAGGGTTTTCATAGTGTTTTCATAAACGGGCTTGAATGGTCAGTAATGCCCTTCATCCTTAGGGTTAGACGTTCCCACACTCTGTGAAATTATATATTCAGACTCTATGATACAAGCAGGTTTGGTGCTAACTTTGGGATTTTGGACGAGAGGTTAGGGTTGGGTGTTTGGGGGCTTCGACTAGGGTATCGGTTTCGAGAAGCCCAGCTAGCTACAGAGTGGGGTACCGCCGTTTTCGTATCCCGATTGTTGTAGTACTCCATGAAACAGGCAGCCGCGGGGTTGTAGGGCTGTGCAGGCTTGCAGGGACTAGGGGCGTAGCATTGAATCAGAGTTTTGGGCTCAGGGTCGTACTGGTGTGGCTAGTGTCGTGTTGGCACAGCGTTCAGATTTCGGCGATAAGGTTTAGGTTGTGGGGCTTGGAGTTGATGGCTTAAGGGTCCAACCTTGCGTGCGTTTCGGCGTTGCTCCTGCGTCTCTGAATCTCTTTGTTGAAGTCGGGTTTCCTGAAGAGGAACTCCTGAAGAGATGGATGCCCACAAAACGGTGACTCTCCGGGAAGCTGATCCTAATGCAATCGTCGTCGGACTCTACGAGCCTTTGCGGCCACCGGGGGTTCTGTAATGTAGAGAAACCTTTGGGCCTTTATTAGGGCTCCTTATCTGAATCCTCCTATTTTGGGGTTATAGGCCCAGGGTTTCATAATCAGTTTCCTACATTAAGAGGACTGCAACAAGACTAAGGGGCTTCACCCAGCCTTTGTGCCGCCGGAACTTGGGGGAGGCCACGAAGTGGAGAGAAACCGTGCAGCCCCAGAGACCAAACAGCCAAAAGCGCAAGCCCATTACAGGGAAATAGCGAAATCACAACGCGTCTTATGAGGTTGTGACGGACGATGAGGGGAAGATCTTGTTTAGCATTCCGTGGTCACGCTGGCAAAGGCTCTAAAAAGGTAGACTTGCCGTAGACTGGCTGGCAACAATGGTTCAGATTCAGCGGCCATGACTAGGTCCAGGACGTGTTTGGACCGTTGACACTGGCATGTTGGAGTACGAGGCTTTGCGGCTCAAGGTTCAGGTGTAGGTTTGAGGGACTAGGGTTCAGTTTCACCCGGATGCAGAAGTTTGCGACATAAGGTCTGATGGTAGCAAGAATGGGAAGATGCCCACTACCTCTTCCATTATCTCTTCAATTTGTTGCCAACGCCCCTCGTATAACAACTCCACACGCCCTACAAACACTGCAAAAAGCTACAGAACCTTCATAGTAATCCTTATTGTATACTCACCCTTAAAGCAGCCCTTCTCCTAACCTTCCCGAAACCATAAACCCCCAAACCCAAGACCCTACAACCTCCTTCATGCAAGCCACGGCGCTTCTGAGGACTTTCTGCTTCTGCTCTGACCCGCCCGTCTGACCGACGAGTTTGCAAACTGTAGCCTACTATAGCGCGGCTTACTAATATCTACATATGTTTGTATATGTGTATAGCATATGTATATAGTGTATATCTATATATATATATATATATATATATATATATATATATATATTTATTTATAAATTTATTTATTTATTTATACTCTCGGGGTCCGACTACAATGTTGGCAAAACATAACCCACAACCCAGTTCTAACTCATAAAGTCATAAAGCCCCTACCTATATCATATGTAGGTCTGAGGGTTGAGGACGGTTTGTCGGCTCCTCGGCTTCTCGTACGCAAGCGCGGGTGTGGCTTTTTGCTGTAGCTGAATCGGGTAGGGTTCAGGGGTTAGGGATTAGAGTTTAGGGACTAGGGTTCAGGTATAGGGATTAGGGTTCAAGTTTAGGGATTAGGGTTAAGGGTTTTTAGGGCTATGTATACTCTTCTCGCAAGATGATTCAGCGTGCTCAGAGAATCTATACCCATTATCCCCGAAAGATCAGGCTTCTGCCATGGGATACATGATAACCATCTTCTTCGGTGTCCGATGCCTACGCCCATATGAAAGCCGACCTCACGTTGGCAACTAGAACACGTGGATGAATTCCACTCAGTGCTGAAACTCTGATCATCCTACGATGATCATGCAACTCTCCGCGGTTCCTGTCTAAAGAAGACAGCCGACCCTAAACCTTAAACTCTATACGGAGTTTCCGACAATTAGGGGTAAGGGGCCCTTATAATAAGGATCCTACTATTTAGGGTACCATGATTAGGGTCCCCTCTTTTCGGAAACTCCCATACGTTTAGTTGCGGTTTCCCTAGTTCCGCCGCAAGCTGCCAGTTCACGCCGGCCGGCTACACCAAAGACATGTTCGGGCAGTGGATCTGCGAAGAGGACGCTCACCGTGTTCTGGATTTGGGTCTGGAGATGGGGAGAGCTTGGGGTTGAGGCTTTAGGGCTCAGGGCTTAGGGTTTAGGGTTGTTTGGCAATTCCGGAGTTAATTCTACTTCGGATCTTGTAAACTCTCGAAGCACACCACCAGGAGTCTGAATGACATCAACCTGGAAATGTTGATGTCCTGAGCTCCAACCACTGAGTTGTGTGTCAATACTCAGCAGACCCGTGATTTGCGAACACCCCCCCCTTAGCCAATCCAGGCCCTCTGCCCCGTACTGGGTTCCTGTTCATGGATTTAATATAAGCTACCATAACAAGGAACCATATTATTAACTGTAGATCCCTTTCATGGTAACTTCACTTAAATTCGTTCACAAGAACCCTAAACCCCTAAACCCTAAACCCTAGCTCGTTAACAAAAACCCATTTAAGAAGGGCGGCGAATGTTCCGAGCCATTGAACTCTGTGGCCTTGGACTCCGAAGCCCCGGATCTGGAATCTCTTCTTAGGGGTCTTTGGGTTGAGGACTTTCAGGGTTTAGGGTTTAGGGCTACGATATAGGGTTTAGGGTGGGGTTGAGGAGTTTCTCCAAACTCCTAAACCCTAAACCTTTAAGCCCTAAACCCTGATCCCGAAGTCTTTGGGGTTTGAGGACTTTCAGGGTTTACGGTTTAGGGTGGGGTTGAGGAGTCTACTACGATATACTAGTTCATATACTACGAATTAGTAATATACTTATATTATACCGTAATGCTACTATATACTCTTCACTCTAGAACCGCAAGACTTCCAGAGTCTGCTCACTTTCAGGGTCTCTGGGGTTTCAGGATGTTAGGTTTTCTGGGTATTTGTGGAATTCGGGTTTCTGGATTTCTTCAAGGTTCTGCAAATGTCAACTGTTTGGCTTACGATCTCGGGGTTAGTGGCTTCGGGCACCGAGAGCAACAGCACCAGAACACGAAGTATCGTTCAGGAGCGACAATGACGTAGCGAAGGTGAGACTAGCCACAACAGCTTAGTGGTGATACAACGAGAGCTTATGCTATTGAGTGCAATAGCTTGTACGTTTTTACAATCATTATCGGCAGAAACAGCAGCAGCACCAGCGGCACCTGCTCCATGTTTTGACCTTAACGGTTACGAGGTCTAAGTGCAACACCCCAACACACGCGACGCCGCTCCGAGACATTTTGGGGTCGGGGGCAGGGCTATGCTGGGACGGCCGTCAAGCAGTGTCGCGTCGGCGAGGTGCAGTGGAAGCATTTTCTGGGCTTCGGGTTTAGGATTGGGGATTTGCTGCTTATTGTAGCAGTGTGGGTTGATTCTGCATACTTCCGGGGCACCGGAATGTGAAATCTTCGAGTCGAAAGCACATTTATGACCGAGCCAGCTACAGGTGACATCATGAAACCATATCAAGCATTGGTTTTATTAGCATAAGCCCCCTATCATGCCAGTACGACCGGACAACCTGTCTTGACAACGACAACAACAGCGACGTCCATTACAACAGCACCAACAGAAGCAGGACTGGTCAAGCGTGTGTTTACAAGCCATAGCCAATTGCATACCACCAACAGCAGCGGAAGAAGCAGGCGGCGTAGTAGATCAAACGCTCAAGAAAGTATGTCGCAAATAGATGCCGGGAAACCCAAGACTGGTGACACCATCAACGCTTTCATAATCATCACCAGCAGTAGCAGCAACGACGACACCTACATACATCTACATCGTGCATCACCATAATCATAGGCACTATCAGACATCACCATCGTCATTGCTAGCTTCATCATCAGCTTGGGTTCGAAAAAGCTGTTGATGCACAAGCAGCTGGAGACTCATCGTCTACTCTCACAACTCCCGAGAAAGTCGAAAGCAAGTTTATGGTTGGATGCTCATGCATCCCGAACCCACTGTACTCAAAGTTACTGAACCTTACCTAAACCCTAAAACCCTTAGCCCTTCCAAACATTCGCTCTGGCAGACCTGCATCGCAGATGCACAGCTGGTTGGTTGCGAGGCCACCGGGCCCCCCGAGACGTCCTAAGAGCAGTAACTAATATTGGGGCCTAGATAGTTACCAATATTATTTTGCGGGCTCCTTGTTATTATAGTTGTGAAATTGCAGCATAATGAGCCCAAAACTCTGTTGTCATCATTAGCGCCCCTATAGTAATGGCTATCAGTAGAAAGTTGCGACACAAATACCAAGGGTGTGAAGCCAACGTCTGATAGCGTGTACAAGCTCTAGACTCTAGATTCTAAAGTAATGCGTGCTCACTCGCCGTGACACGCATCACCGTATGACAACCACGACCTTTAGCTCCCTACCTGCTGCCAGCTGAAATCAGAGATGTTTGTGCATTCTTCCAAGTATCGGCCGATGTCAGCACAGCGAGGGGAACCTTGCGGATCGCATTTCCGGGTAACCAAGCATGCCCGCATGGCCGTCGCTTGGACATTTCCACCACGGCTGTGCAGCCCCACGAAGATCACTCATGCCGCCTCTGTGCACCCTAGTCCGGCTCCCTCAAACCATAAGCTCTTACTGTGACAATGACCTCTCATCCCTACAGCACACCCTATACACTCGGAAGTTCATGCGAGTTTTTGAGGCTATTGTTCTTACGAGAATGGGAGTCGGCACTCAATGACACGTGCTGCATAGTCTTGCCATTTGCAAGGATCTCCTTGCCAAAAAGCAGAACATCAGTTCAGAGATTTGGGCTTAGGGCCCCTAATCCCACGTCCCAGACCAGTTGTGCTCGTCCTTGAGGCCCCTAAACTCCAAGCCCGAAGCCCCGAACTCCTACGTCCGCAAACTCCTGGGCCCTAAACCATAACCCTTATTGCGTCAGCTTGTGCAGAGCAGGCTGATAGCTACATTCAGGGAAGCTCGAAGAACTAGACTAGCATCCAGGCGTACTTTAGGAAACCCTATTGCTGCAAGGAATGACGCCGCTTGGAGTATTACCTACAGTTTTTCTCTTCCTTCGGGATCCTTATCATCATTATAGTACAATATATGCCCAAAGTCCTGTGCCCATATGATTGAGGCCGCCTGTTGAGCAGACTTGGGATTGAAGGCTCGGTGCTCATGTTCACACCCCACCAGCAGCATCCCGAGAGTCCAGGGCTTAACCGCGAATTGCAGGGAAATTCAAGTTCACCCGAGACCCTAATTTCAACCGCCTCATGCAAACCTCAAACCCATCCTTGAGCCAAAGACTCAAAAGCCGCAAAAGAGCCCCAAACCCGAAAACCCCTAAACCCTAAAACCCTTAAACCCTAAACCCTGAACTCCCGCCCCTCCCCACAGCTATTGCGGCCAGAAACTGGAGCCTTGTGCGCCGCTGCAGCCGACGTCCTGCGAGCAGGATGTTTCAAACTGTGCCCAAGGTGGCAATATGGTTAGGGGTTCAAAGACTCAGGGTGCGCATCAGGTTGTGCAGAAGTGTAAGGAGAGACACACACACACACACACACTGTGACTGATTGTGTCTGCTTGGGGCGGGTGTGATTTTCATGGCTTCTAGGATTCCATGGCGGATTTACCGGGTTGTGTAGAAGTTGCACAGAGGTGCATCGATGAGCTCTATACCCCAAACGTTTCATTTTTTGGCATACAGGAAGACGAGTGCCGAAACCCGAAGCTCCGAACCTCGAACTTCAAAAATCTTGGCTCGGGGCCGCAAAGCCTAAATCGTGAGCCCCTTCCGCTCCGGGGGTTTGGGTGTAAGAGGGTGAGGGTGTTGCATGATAGGATGTAAGGTTAGGGTTTTGGGTTTAGGGCTTGGCCCTGACACCTGGAGCATTTAGACCCGTGCATGCGGGATATGGAGATGTCGGAAGTGCGAACCGAGGTGCCAACATACCACCAGGCTGGGTGCCTCTTTAGGGACTTGGGGAGTGTTTCTTAGCGGATATACAGGCTTCACAGGGGTCTTTTGAGAAGAGGTTTACAGTGTATTGCAGAGGAAGTTCTAGAGGCTTTAGGTCGGTTTTTGGAAGTTGTGGATTACCTTTGGGGATTACACACTTTTCGAATTTCTGTCTAGGGACTTCGAGGTTGTTGTACTTGGGTTAGCATAGCGTCTGAATGCCTTGCACTCAGGGCTTCGGCCGTGTTTCCATACTTGCGACATGGTTAGTTCGGTGTGCGGCGAGAAGTGCCAGGCATGTTCATTAAAAGCCGAAGCCTTACCGAATCCCACAGTCTCAAGGCTTAGGTGCCTCCGGATCCCAGTGACAATGCTTCTGCACTGGAGCGTATGGCCTACGCGATCTGTCAAGAGGATCATTGCCCTTTGGATCAATTGGCTGAGTTGTGCTCCGTCCTGCCGGGTCAAACTGCCGCCAAATGTGCTCGTGCGAGCACTTCGGATGGAGCCACGGGGCGCTGTCAACGCACCTTCTCCGTGGGAGCCTATTCGGCGGGAGGCACGCAGGGTATACAAAACAATACTCGGGATTATCCCTGGATGACTCGCTTGATGACTGCTTTGGTCAACGGTGCCAACCCTCGACATCATTACAGCAGCTGCACTCTTCTGATGAATGTCATGCACAATAAGCATGGCGAACGGGCGCACAACCAACCTTCTGCTGCCCTGCAGCCGATGGCGGGGTGGGCAGGTTTGGACTGCTGATGCCCAAGGCTCCGTCCACCTGGACGCGCGCTCGGGAGCGGGATGCTTGCGTACAGTACAGCTTCCGTTCTTGATTCTGGACCCGCATACAGCGCATGCTGCTTTCCCCTGGTCCGGTGGCGACCGTCATAGTGCTTGTCGCGCACTGCGCACCACGCGAAGGGACTGAACGCGCTGACACGGGAGGATAGCGCTCTTCTTGAGTGGGCTGGCTTTCATTGCCTCGTTCCAGGGATATGCGCACAAAGCCGCACTTAGACATCAGAGTTTCCGAAAATTAGGGATACCGTATTTTGGGGTCCTTATACTAAGGATCCCACACTTTACGATGCTTTTTTAGGGTCCCCGATTTTCGGAAACTCCCACATCAGAAGGACGCTTGAGCAAGTTCCTAGATCTTTTGCTATGGTCGCAGAGCTCCTTGTATAGCGAGAGCAGACTATGGCCAAAACCCTACAAGCAGTATCATGACTATTGTTTTTCATGATCATGATCCTTACTATTATCAGCCAGGCCCACGGCTAAGCACATGAATTTTCGAAAATCTCGACAACAACCCCAAGCTCTATCCTTTTGGGGGTTACTTTATAGGATTTTAAATATGAAACTCAAAAAGGAATTATTTTGGGGCCCTATGGGTAGTAGGGAATTAAGGTTTAGGGTTCGGCCCTCATCCCAAAGTTCAAAAACACCTAAAGTTTACGGTTGCGGGCTCGGTTCCAAAGTGCAAAACGTCAAGAGCCCAAGCTCTCGAGCTTCAATCTGCGCTACTTTAGGGCCTTCATGGTTTAGGGGCTTAAATGAATTATGGGTACAATGGTTCCTTCAAAGGGGCTTATAAGGGATCTATAATCAAGTTCTATAACATAGTGGCCTGTATTAATGATTACCTAGACTATTTGGGGGTTCCTTACTATAAGTATAGTATAATGGGCACCAAAACCCTATTCTAATGATTATGGCCCCTATATTGTGCCAGGTGGCAGCTGCGTGGTCAGCTGCCGCACGCCTTGGGCCAATGTGCCCTCGGCTTCTGTTGTGGCTTGCTCTTGAGGGCTTGGGCGAATACCCGGAGACCGCAGCATTTTAGAATAAGGTTCCAGTGTTAGGGATCCAAGATGATAAGGTTTCGTCCTAAAGGGAACTCCAGAAAGTTGGAATATGGATTAGTGGTAGGATCCCCTATCATTTACCGAAAAGGGGTTACGATAATGATATTCCAACTTTCTGGCTTCTACTGTAGTTGCTTTGGGCAGGACATTGGAGTCTTTGCATAGGTGCTCAGGATTCATGGCTACGAAGCGACGAAGTTTAGCTTCCAACCCCCCGCGTCCCCCACCTTAAGCCCTAAACCGTTTCGGAAATGCGGGGCACGGGATGTTCAGTTCCAGGTTTCGGGGCAAGGGAGGCTGAGATTTCGGGGTTCAGGCGGTTCAGGTCTAGCGTCCCTAAACCCCTAAACCCTAAACCCCTCTAAACCCCGAAACCCTACACCCCTAAACCCTAAACCCCGAAACCCTAAACCCCTAAACCCTAAACCGCGAAACCCTAAACCCCTAAACCCTAAACCACTGCGGCTTTTAGTTCAGAGTGTTGGGTTCAGAGTGGGGCTCGGAGTTTAGGGTTGTAGCGTTGTAGGGTTTGTGGTTTAGGGTTCGGGGGTGTGGGCTTTTGAGTTCTGTGATGCATCTTCGGGGCCCACGGGAAGCCCTAAGGCCGAAAATAGCAAAGCCCAAGCCCTGAAACCCTATAAAGCCTCAAGCAACCCTCATACAACCCTACAGAACCTGATATAACCCTATGGAACCGTAAACCACCCTGATGGAGCTGTGGGTCTGTCGCATTGACACCAAAACTGCACCCTGCAGACTTTGATCCAAAGGTGGCTACGGGGTAGTAAGTGAAGACCGTATATCTAAACTTCCGGCTACGCCGATATACCATTTTAACCTCTGTCTTGCTCTGCACGTACAAGATTTGTGGATGTTTGTCTGGTTTATGGCACAGACAACAAACACACAGACAGATAGACAGAGAGAAAAAGAACGAGAGCAAGGGACAGAGGCCGACAAAACACCAATCCGTTGACTCGGCAGGTCGCGACCACCGTTGCCACGTGTCCAGACGCGAATGAAACTTGGCTGCAAGAGCCCATAGCCCAAAACCCACGGGGCTGTGAGGTTTATTACAGGGATCTACATACCTGGTAAGCATATCCCTTCATCCACCGTTCTATCATGGTACTGGGCACACTATACCCCATAGCCGCATTCTAGTCACTGAGGCTCCTACATTAAACCCCAAGCGACCTGAGCCCTGAAAATCTGGTGAAACCAAAATCTAGACCCGCTGAATCCAGCCCTTAGCCCGAATCCTGTGCAACAAATCCCATGCCTTGAACATCCGAAAACCCATCACCTCAAACAGTTCCCACTGTTTCCGAGAATTCCTATAACCCTCCATCCGCAACAACCCCAGAGTAGGCACAAAGCGAAAAAAACATGCCAAAGTTTCCCGCAGCCAAAACCCTGAACCCTTAACTCCTAAACCCTAAACCGAAAACTCTTTCAAACCCTGAGCCCCTACAAAGCAGCAGGAAAAACCTTAACGAAACTCTCGTCACAAGTGCTGAATGAGACGCCGAAACCCTTGAACCCTAAAACCCAAAACCCCAAAAACCCTACCCTAAACCCTAAACCGAACCCTAAACCCGAAACCGCCTAAAGCCCCTTGAGAAACTTTAAAACCTTTGAAGCCAAGACCGACCCGCTTCGCACGGTGGACTGGACGCCGCCGGTGTGCCAGGCTAAGCTCGAGGAAAGGCATTAGGGTACCTTAAAGGGATCTATAGGGGTACCTTAAAGGGATCTATAGGGGTACCTTAAAGGGATCTATAAGGGTACCTTAAAGGGATCTATAAGGGTTCTATGAAGGTTTTCGGGTTTCCGAAGATTAAGGATTAGGATGCCCAGTAGTACCCTTATTCTCTTTTTGTGGTCCTAGGCTCCTTATAAAGTTACCCAATACCAAAAAGAGAGGCCTGTTTATTCTTAGGTTACTGGGTATCCTAGATAATATAGGGGCCTCGACAGCTAGAATTGGATTCGTTTAAGGGTTTCTGGACAGGGTTCTTTTAAGGGATCTAGAATGGGGGGTCTAGAATAGCCAAAAGCCTCTTGGGAAGGGAGCCGAGATTAAAAAACGAATCTGCGAGCCCTTAGACCTTGAACCCTAGGGTTTATAGGGTGCAAGTCTTTAAGACTTGGGGTTTAGGGTTTAAGGTTTAGGGCTTAGAGGGTTTTTATGGTTTAAAAGACCGTTACACAGAAGTCTGACACTGGCCCTGAGGTGCGAGCTTCAGTGTCCGGAACCTCCGGTGATCCCTCAGGGGTTTGAGCTGCGGCCCCAATCTTCGAAGTGTCTCAGGTCCGTTTCAGCCTGAAGGCTTGCGGTTTAGGACATAGGATTTGGGTGTGAGGTTAAGGGCTCAGAGTGTGTGTTTGGATCCAGGGTTGAGGGCTTGGGGTTCAGGATGCGGAGTCAGGGACTCGGGTTTTCAGGTTGGGGGCCTGTAGTAAGCCCTCCCATGCGTTTGTCAGAGGGGCGGATGATGGTTGACCCTTCCGTTTTCCAAACGGCCCGGAGATGTGCCCGAAAAGCTCAACCCCCTAAAGCAACTCCCCAAGTGCTAAACTAAACCATGACTTGGACTTCCCAGTCTTCAGCCCGAAATCCTTTATCGGAAAGTTGTCGAAGGCCCTCAGCCAATTCCGAAATTTCTTGATCCGATCTGGGTTAGGCTTGGGCTGCGAGGCTTAGGTTTCGAGTTGAGGGTCTCTGGGCTGGGTTTTGGTTTCGGGTAGTTTCGGGTTTCTGGGGTTGACAGCTTGCAGTGGTGGCTGAAAGCTCCGCAGTAGAGAAGATCGTGCACGGCCTCGGCTGTAGGGCTTAGGAGTGCGAGGCTTAGCGTGTAGTACGCGATGCTAAGAGTCCGATAGCTCGGAAAGAATTTCCGAGTCTTGCCCAAAAGCTCCATATGCCTACTTGAAGAGTGGTTGAGCTGGAGGGAACCGAACTGCAGAGGCTCTTCATATTATAAGTATGAGTAGGCTTCCAAGCGACGGAAGCCTCATAAAGAACGAACAGTTGATCATCACGAGACCAAAGGATTGTGGGTTTCTGATGCCCGTATGGTCCCCATTACATCAGCGGATCATTAGTGTATGGTATGACCCAACCCCTTCCTATGTGAAGACCTCTTATATTAAGCATGCGCTGCCTTCGAATCTGGGATCAGCAAGTCGCACTCTGCAGCAAAGAACAGGCTCAGTGCTTACCATCCACTCCGGCACCGAACCCTGAACTTAAAGCCTAAAACCGGAGATCCCGAACCCCGCGCCCCCTTGATTTGAGGCTTAAAAAAAATCCAGTCCTGGTCTCTACCACAAAACGGCACCACAAAGGGCCCCTAGTTGAGACCAGCCCTGAACCCTGAGGCCCTTGACCCCAATCACCAAAACCTGAGTACCTTACACCGCGTGTAACTTAGACTATAATCGCTCAGAAACAGCTAGGATCATGATTTTTGCAACGAAACCACCCCCTACTTGGAGGTTCAGGGGTAGTTATATGTAGGGAAATCAGTCCCCTAGTATGGGTCATAAGTATAGCTACCCTACTTATAACCCTACTTATAACTACCCCTACACCCAAAAACCCATAGAACCCTTAAAGGAACCCTATAGACCCCCTTAAAACCCTACTTATAACAGCCCAGAAACGGTGATCTCCGAAGCCATCCCCTAAACCAGGTGGAATCCTGGCACTTTTGAGGCGCTTTGCCAGATAGGCCGCCAGCCGAGGGTGTGTCGGGCGAGCATGGCTTGGAGACTCGAGGATTACGACTTGGGGTGCTTACTCGGAGGTTCGTGGGTAGGCCCTGATGTGGCTTGCCCTACTTACAACCCTAGTGAGCCCTAGTGTTTGTGTAGGCCCTCCAGGGGTTGTGTTTTTGGGTGGCTTTCGGGGCTTCGTGGTTTGAGTGGAAAGGCTTGAATCCTAAACCCCAACAGATCCCGTATAGATCCTTTAAAGGGACCCTAAAGGAACCCTTATCGAAGCCTGGACCGGCTGCCAGGCTACCTGGGGCCCCCAATCACGAACTGCACGGTGGACAACACGACGTGCCAGGCTTGCCCGATCCACCCGTTTGTGCCTCCATGCCCGTTCTGCCCAGATGGGAGTTTCCGGAAAAAGGGGACCCTGATAAAATATCCTAAATAATAGGATCCTTATTATAAGGGCCCCAAACTAAGGTACCCCTAGTTTTCGGGAACTCCCAAATCCCTACACCCCAAAGAATCCCCAGAGTTCTTCGCTCAAGAATAGATCCTCCCAGCTTACGCTTAAAGTAGGACGTGTAAGAGGGGAGCTACATGCCCAGCTCCGTATCATCGAGACGTCTGACGGCCTCGGGTTTAGGATTTCCGTTGGAGGTAAGACGGCTTGAGGGCCCGTTTGAGACTAGTGAGCACAGAGTCCTAGCATTTATTCAAAATGATCCCAGGAGTACAGTGACCCCTAAGCCAAACCCGCTTCCGCTGTTGAGTCGTGGAGTTGACCCTTCCTTTTTAGGGGATTTCCTGAGGACGCTGGAGAATATTAGAGCATGGACACCTCTGCTCCCGGGTTGCCACAGCCCTCAACCATGAAATATATAGGAGCCTGAATGACTACTTGCGTTTGTAAAATCGCAAAAACCTTGCTCCTTATTCATAAAACAAGAGCCCTTTTTGAAAGCTGCATAGAACCCTTGAGAGAACCCTCACAGCAGCCCTCGCACAAATATTAGTATTACTGTGGATATTGTCATCGTTGCTATTCTTCTTGTTCTTTTTTTCCTGCCGGTGGTGGTCGTCGTGGTCGTGGCAGTCGTTGTAGCAGTAGCAATAGCAGCAGCAGCAGCAGCAGCAGCAGCAGTGGTAGCGGTAGCATAGAGGCCTTTCAATACAGGGTTCTTGTAAAGGATCAAAGGGCCCCTTTCAGGGATCTACACGGGCTATGGGGTTTAGGACTTCCAGCGTTTAGGGCTCACGGCTTGAAGGGTTGAGGGTGTAAGTACAAAGCATCCCAACAAAAACCCAACAGAAACGGTAAAGTCTTCAATCCTTAAGCTTTCAACCGGAAACCAAACATAAACGGAGCTCTCCGGCGTCAGGCCTAGGCCCTTTGCGGGAACCAGCCTGTGGTTACAGACATCTCTAAAGTGGTTAAACGCTTTAACCCCAAACCCAAAGACCCTAAACCCCTTAAACCCTAAACCAAGCGACTTAACCCCTGCACCCTTGAACCCTAAAGCCTGGAGGTCACGACGCACATCTCCGGCTGCCAGCGCCTGCAACCCTGCCGGCGCCCCATAGAAGCGACCCCTGCAGCGGCTCAGGGTTCTGTATCAGACTTTACTCGTTTAGGGTTTAGGGTTATATACGAAGTGTTCATTACAAAGGCTGGAATCTACTACACCGCTACAAAACCAACAGTGCAAATCGTACGCAGCATCTACAAGGCCATCTACAGCCCTTAAACGCCCTTCCAAAGCCCTTACCGTCCCCGCAAAACGGGTTCGTACGGCTTGGGGAAAGAGTATTCCATAAATTACAGGATTAGGGTTCGGATAAGCATCGGATTCTGAGTAGGATCGGAGTGCTACGAGGGTTCTACGGGCCACTTTTCGGCGTAGCGGCTCGAGACGCATGCTAGACTTTAACCTGAACCCTAAACCTTTCAGGTTTAGGGATTGGTATGAACAGATTTGTTCCTGCACTCTCCAGTGCCAGCAAGGATCGGCGCGAGGCTGGGCTGTAAGACTTCAGGGTCCAAGATCTTGTCGTCTAGGGCTAACTCTGCTCTAATGAACAGCACCCCTACATGATAGAACCATTGAAGAATCTTAAAAGGAACCCTGCTCAAAAAGGCTTAAGGCCCCCTTTACTAGGTCCTGCAACCCTAAACCATAAACCCTAAACCCCCAAACCTCTAAAACACAAACCACTCTATACCCCTGAACACCCATACGTCGAGAGTTGAAGGGACGACAAGCTCCCAAAGGCATACTTCCGGAAGGCGACTTCTGCCGGGTGAACATGACATCCTGCAGGAGCCCAGAGTTAAGAGATTTAGGGCTTTGGGGATTTGGGGGGGGGGTTTAGGGTTTAGAGTTAAGAAGTTTAGGGCTTTGGGGATTTGGGGGGGGTTTAGGGTTTAGAGTTAAGAAGTTTAGGGCTTTGGGGATTTGGGGTGGTTTAGGGTTTAGAGCTTTCGGGATGAGTGTTGCGGGATTCAAGGGCTCCTCGAGGGTTTTGCTTAGGGTTGTAGGTCAATCAGGCTCCTGGGTGCTTGTCTTGAATTTGTCTGTTTGTTTTTGGGGTTTCGTGTATAGTGATCACCGCAAACCGTATGTTTGCATACCTTGTACGGGGAGTTGGGATGAGGGCTTTGTAGAAGTCGATTATATATGGCGTTGGGTTAAGGGTCCAGGGCGTTCGGCTTTCACAGCTTAGGTGGGATCCGGAGACTTCGATTTTGGAGTGTATAGGGCGAAGGGTAACACATTAACAATATCCTTTTCGAGTCCATATATAGTATTGGAGGAAATGCGCTATCGAACACATTCAGGCCACCACAGTATACCAATCACTCAAGCCACTCGTGAATAAGATTTCAGAGCCCCGATAGCATAAGATTTCAGACCAAGGGCATGCCTAAACCCAAAACCCTAAACCCTAAACCGTGATGGGGGAGTTTGGGGGTCGAGAGTTTAGGATTGGTGAGGCGGAGGCAGGAGGGGTCGCGCGTCAGGCCTTGACTTGTGGAGTTTAGGTTAGGGGCTTAAGGTCACCTACTCCGTAGACTCTGGTAATGGTACAAGGTCAGTGGCGGCTCAATGATTACAGAGTTGGTATTCAGGTTTCGACCATCGGGTTAGGGTTTAGGGGTTTTGGGGTTTATGGGGCTTTCAGCTTTTTAGGGGTGTTGGGTTCCTTCGCTTTTCCAAACTCTGTGCATTGCGTCGGTCACTGATGGAGAGTAGGATACATGTTACCTGGGTAGGGCTTTGGGACATTTTCTATTTTCCCTTATTGGGCTTAAGAGGATCTTATTTACTAATATTTTTCATAGGCTTTAAAAGCCCCACCTAGTCTCATCTACCACCGGAGCACTGGAACACCAGCCTCCACCATGTCTTTGAGGAATGTCATGCCCGGCGGCACCTGCAACCCACCTTGCATTCCGCCGGGGCCCTTCAGAACCCGCCGGGGGGGGTATGTTTGGTTCGGGATTCTTGCATGTCTTATGATGCGCCCAGAGATTGCTCAAGCGTAAGCGTGTTTGTTGTTGAGGCCTGCTAGGAAAGGTATCATTTTGACGGGTTTTACTCCTGCGGAAGGTGGTGCGCTCAGGTATGGCTCTTTAAATTCCTAAGGCTAAGGCTCGTCGTTTTGGACATTCGTTTTGAGGTTCGGAGCTGCCGCTCCCGATAGGATTTCAGGTTTCGGGGCCTTAGGGTTTAGGATGAGGGCTCAGGCTCATATAGTATTTAGGATTCAAGACCACAGACTTCGGGGCTTAAACAACCCTAGAGTCTACCCTAGCCCTCAGCTCGTGAAAAGCCGAAACCCCAAACCCCACAATATGCACACACACCTTCAACCCTAACCCCTTCCAGGCCCTTCGAGCTCATGTGTATATATATATATATATACATACATACATATATATATATATATACATATATCTATATATATATATATATGCCTTCAGCCCTAAACGCTGCCAGACTGCCAGGCCCTTCGAGCTCTACGGCGCACCGGGCCTAGCCACTTGCCCCGAGGGAAACTTGGATCCAGTCTGGGGCCCCAGAGCGATCCGGGGAGGAGCGTAGGGTTAGGGTTTATTGGGTTTTATAGGGTTGGATTGGGGTTTTTTATTGGGTTTTGAAGGGTTTTATAGGGTGTTGTAGAGTTTTATAAGGTTTTTGATAGGGTTTTATTGGGTTCTATAGGGTGTTATAGGAACCTGATTAAGAAGCCCTGGCCTTATAACCCCAGTATATTAGGATGCATATAAGGAGCCCTAATAAAGACCCAAGGTTTCTTGATCAGGTTCCTACATTTTGGTTGAAGGAGGGTTTGCAGGTTCAGAACACTGCACTGCAGCACTGGGTCTATGACTGGGTTTTAGGGTTTGTGTGTTAAATAGTTTAGGGTTCAGGATGTTAGCATTCAGGGTTCAGAGCCTAGGATCTCAAGCCCTTGAAGATGTTGCCGAAAGCACCAACATGCTCCGACTGCATTTATCACTGACAACCCATGCGGGCCGTTGATCAGCTGTGAAATTAGTTCGGAGTAGTAGACTGGCAGAGGGCCCAAACAGCGAGATCGGGAACAGTGTTGTTTACGAAACACAGCAACACATAGGCGCAAAAACCAAAACAAGCGTCACCTTTCGGGCCATCACGCACGATCATGGACACAAAAGTTCGCACGTAAGCGAACCCAAGCTGCAAGCCACCTAGTTAATGGGCAATGCTATGGCGGGTTTCTCCCAAAGGAAGGCCCACCAAGCTGTGGAAACCCGTACAGTACAAGACAACGTCTATTGTACACTCTCACAGGTTTACGCATATGTATGTAGCTGGCAAGCGGAATTTTGAGGTTTTGTGCAAGGGGGAAGACGTCGAAGTCAAGTCTTGTCGCTACCTAATTTGCCGGCACTGTGCTAGAGATTTTGTAATGTTTGCCCTGTAGGCCTGCGGTGGGGGTTGCTGCGCGACTTTGTGGTTCTCGCGGCATGCGAACCCGATTAAGGGTCTAGAGGAAGCTCAAGACATGTGGTTTTCTGGACATAGGAGTTTCCAGGACATGTGGGCTTTCTGGAAGTAGATAATCCCTGAGCCAAACAGCCCCTTGCATGGAGGATTTGCCTCTTACCTGGGAGCAATATCCGAGCCACGGCGGCATGTGGAGCACATGTTCTTAGAGTTGAACTTACAGTTCGAGACACTACAGAATACGAATACTAATAGATACGACACCCTAAAGCTTTCTCCTGATCCCCAACTGAAAGCTTAGAGCTTGAACTGCTCCGAATGTGTGTGGCTATCAGAGATGCTCTTTTAGTGGTGTCTCCCACCCCTTCGGGTTTTCCATTGCAGGTTTGCTGAAGTGGACTTGCCTTTGTCTTGCGAGTCTCAGTCTTTCGAGATGTATTTGGAAAGGGTTTGGTTCCCCCACATAACGACAGCAAACAGGACAAACATAGATTGAGGTTGTATCCTTTCACCTGACATAGGGAAGTTGACTTTAGAGAACTACCCATGTTTTTGTCGTGAACACGCCATAGCCTACTCAACTCAAAGCCTGACTGCGAAGCAGGATGTCGTACATGAATCCCAAGTATGTCCTAAAAAACTCAACCAGCTTGCAGACCGTTAACCCCGACGCACCCTAGCCATCAACCCAAACCCAGGAGCCTAATCCCAAAACATGCGTGGTGGTCGAAGGCTTTGGAATTCTTTCAGCCTTTGGTATCATGGGAGGGAACGGTCTTTGGAGCTTGTAGTATTGTGGCTGTTCACTATGTTTTCATGTTGAGATTCGCTCCGAAAGCACAAGGCGTGCTGCTGAAACCTAGACTCCAGTGGCTTTGGTGCTTTGGTGGCTTAAGCGCGGGTGAGGCTATTTTGGGGGCTCCTTGTTAGAATTATAGTATAATTTTCCCGCCATACCCTATTCTAAATATTAAGACCCCTACCTTATAGAGTCCTATCAGAGACCCCGTGTCGAACCTTTTAAAGATCCCTAAAAGGAAGCTTATTCGAATTATTAGGGCCCCTACATTATGTCGCAGGGTTTGAGGAGCCTTGCGGCTATCAGGGTTTGCTGACGAGAGACCCTGACCTGGGTTTGGAGTACCATACTTGAATCATTTTTTCGGCACCTTTATGAAACGAAAGTCTATACTTCTTTCTCCCTGGTTACTCCAAAGTCCGTCTGAGCTTCGACCCAAAGGCCATGAACCCAAGACTTCTGCGTTTCACTAGGTTCCTGGGCACTAGTAAGACACTTTTGCCCTTTTGATTTTGGGGTCTCCTTGTTAGGGAAAAGGGCACCCTTCTCATTAAGGTGTTACTGGGGGACCTAGTAGACCTAGTTCAAGCAACCGGCACCGCACCCAACTTCGAGGAACTGCTCCGTCTTTCAGTGCCCGGATCCTTCGCCCGTGAGCGTCTGAGAGGTTTGGGCTTTCAAGTCCATCAGTTACCCTAAACCCTAAAACCCTAAAACGCTGTTCATGGACGAAGTAACTCGTCATCACTCACATGCGAGTTTCCGAAAATAGGGGACCCTAATATAGATAATATAGCACCTTAAGTAGTAGGATCCTGATTATAAGGACCCCAAAATAAGGTACCCTACTTTTCGGCTGGGCATATGCCATGATCTCCATGGCTTCGGGAATCCAGGGATGTGCAAGCTTCCGTCTATCAACATTGGGTTTGGGGTTTAGGGGTTTGAGGTTTAGAGTTTAGGGCCTGAGGTTCAGAGGTTTTCAGTTGTTGCTTTTGGTGTGGTTTCGGTTGATGATATAAATCCTGCATAACCCATAATAAGGAATATACCATAATTCCCATAGTTTAGGGTCCTTAAGGTAATGCAGGATTTATACACCCCAAACCCTAAAACCCTATAGATCCCTTAAAGGAACCCTCATAGATCCCTTTAAAGGAACCCCAGGATTTATATCATCAACCGTTTGGACCTTGTAGCCGAGGCAAGGAGTCTGCAAGACAGCAAGCTTCAACTATTCGGTGCCGCTAGAAAGTAGGTCCCCGAATTTGGGGCCTTATAAGGGTTCCTTTAAAGGGATCTAGCAGGGTTCCTTAAAGGAATCTGCAGTATATTGGGTTTAGGGATTAGTGTAGAAAGTAGGTCCCTAATTTGGGGCGCTATACTACTAAGAGTACTTTATAGGAACCCCGCATTAAGGGATCTACTTTTTGGATTTTTCGGGTTTCTGGGTTAGGGCTCTGGCTTGAGAGTCTGGAGTTTAGCAAAACCTCAACGTGCTTACTTGGGGCAGCGTCCTAGCTTGGGCTTCGTCCTCAACTTTGGCTAAGTCTTACTGTCAGAGTGCTGTGTGGAGCCCGCCTCTAGTATAGGGGCCTGAATGATTAGGAATAGAATTCCGTTATCGTCTTGATATACTTGCACGTTAGCAAGCCCCGTACCGCTTCCCGTCTGCCGACTTCGGATTTAGGATTTTGGGTTTTAGGTTGTAATGTTTAAAGTTTAAGGTACATGTTCCTGGAACTGCGTCTCCATCTACAGTGCATGCCTGCAAAGGCCTGACCCCGCAACCGCAAGTACTTGGGTCCAGGGATTAGCACTGCCATGCAAATATTATATACTTAGCACTTAAAGTCTTCCCTACATAGGTACTTTGGGGGCAAGGTATATACAATTGGGTACACCCTAAACCAGAAACCCTAAACCCGCGAAGCCTCGAAACCCGAAGCCAGAAACCCTAAACTTCCTAAACCCTCAAACCCTCGAAACCAGAAACCATAAATCTGAAACCCTCAAACCCTCGAAACCAGAAACCCTGAACCCGAAACCCCAAACCCTAAACCCCCCAAGGTGCCTTTGGGCTACGAGTTCGGCATCGACCAAAGAAGCCCCGCAGCCATCGAAGCAGGTGTGGATCGTGCCGGTCTCAGGGAAGTTCGGGTGTTTACCCCTCAATAACTACTATAGTCTCCTTAGGAATTATTTTCTATTTTTGTTCATTTAAAAATGCAAGAGAATATTTAATATATTATTGCTATTATGGTTTTAAGGGGGGGTATAGTCAATAACTGAAGGTTCCTTATTAGAGGGTTCTATAAGGTCTCAGAGGAGTTTAGGGTTTACCCTCGTAGAATCCGGATTCATACAGGGGCCTTTATAGTTAGAATAGGGTTCCTCTAAGGGTTCTTAGGGGTCTATAGTAGGGCTCTATGATATAGGGGCCTTTATAATTTGAATACGGTTTTGGGGGGTATGCTACAAAGTTATACTCTATCCATAATCGGGAACCCCCAAAATAACATTGGTAATCTTAATCGCTTCGCATCGCCCGCCTCGGCCCGGCTCGGCCCGGCTGCCCATGTATGTGCCGAATTGGTTGGAGGTGTTTGTCTAAGGTAAGCATCCGGAGCCTGCATCGCTACCCCGTGAAAAGTTGCATTGCTGAAGAGAATTCTTGTGCCGAGATCTTGGAGGCGCCAAAATCCAGCAGTCAGAGTGTACAGGGGATCGAATAGTTATTTAGGCTCCTACATTACACTTGAACACGGACAAAGGCCCATTGTAGAATGCTAGGAGGCTTTGAGCTGGTAGTGGAGGCGTAGCTCTTGTAGAGCGCGCAGTTCCAATCGCAACGAGCGCATGGAGCAGCTGTCGGGATGGTACCCGGTTCGCCCTAAACCCTCAGACCCTAAACCCCTAAAACCTAAACCCCTAAACCCCGAAAACCAAAACCCTGATTGCTGTTGCTCTGTCAAGGCTTGATCCTTAAACCTGTGGGCTTCAGGGCCAATCTTCGGATCTGCGTCGTCCCTCCAGTCCTCTCCGTTAAGATTGAAATCGAGGCCAACCCCTAACCCTCAAAGTCGTAAAAAAATTTACAGGCTTTAAAGCTTCAATTCGAAGCTGAACCCCTTAACCCTTACACGTCCTAAAGATTTGAACAGTCTTAAAGATTGAAATCGAGGCTGGTACTGCAGCCCTGGCTACGTCGGCGAGCCCGTGCGCGTTTGCGGCAGTAACATCACTTGCGGTGTGATTGCCACGTGCTCAGCTCGCAGCTCCGTAGTGGTGGTAGTAGTAGCAGTAGTAGTAGTAGTAGTAGTAGCAGTAGTAGTAGTAGTAGTCGTAGTCGTAGCAGTGGCAGTAGCAGTAGCAGTAGCAGCAGTAGTAATAGTTGTTGTTGCTTGCACGACAATATTGACGAATAATACCCATAATGATGTAGTAGTCGTAGTCGTAGTCGTAGTAGTCGTAGTAGTCGTAGTCGTAGTCGTAGTCGTAGTCGTAGTCGTAGTCGTAGTCGTAGTCGTAGTAGTAGTCGTAGTAGTAGTCGTAGTAGTAGTAGTAGTAGTAGTAGTAGTAGTAGTAGTAGTAGTAGTAGTAGTAGTAGTAGTAGTAGTAAGAACAGTACTGCTGATAACAAGCTACTAATAATGGTAGAAGTAATGGTAAGCTTAGGGCTGAGGGCCTGATGTCGAGCGAATAGAAAATCGGGTTGCGGAAGCAAGGTTTAGGAATCAAAGTTCAGAAGGTTTAGGGCTTAGGGTTTAGAGTTTAGGGTTTAGGGCCGAGGGGGGTTTTGGTTTTTTTGGGGATCGTAGCGCTCGGGGCCAGGTTTGGAGCTTTGGACTTAAAGGGGTTTGCATGGTTGAAGTCCTTACGCATTCTGCCGAGCGCTTCTTTCGTTGTTTGGGTCGCGTTCAAAATCCCCATAGTCTTATTCCTCAGCCCTATGCTGTCTTGAAAGGGCTTCCCTGTAGCGCCTGCTGAACAGACAGGTGCTGGGATGCAGATGATGTCGATACGGCGTTCGTTGATGATCATGGCTGATCATGGTACCCCTGAGAATGCCGGAACTATATACACTGAACAAGGCCAAGTATTGTTGGCTTTAAATCGCTTGAAGCCCTTTTGTACGTAGCCTTGCCAACATACAGCATCATCGTCCTTGCACATGTAGTCGTTGCCCTCGTCCCGCAGTAGTAGCGGGAGTAGCTGAGTAGCAGTAGCACTAGTAGTACTCGCAGCAGCTGTAGCCGTTGTTGCGTTTGTGATTGGTTTTTCAACGGTAACCGTAGCAGTACTCGTACGGTCCTTGTTACAGGCAAGGAGACGAGTAAGAAGGGCAGTAACCGTAGTCCAGCAGATATCTATATGTAGGGGTTCAGACATTTGCTGGTAGTATGCCAAAGGGTTTCTTATACATACCTAGTAGACAATCCCCCACGACGGCATTGATGGTGATGTGCGGCTCCCTCAATGCTGTCCCGCCGCCTCCGACTCCGAACCCACAGTCCAATCATTCCGGCCCCGACATTAAGCAGGTTGGGGCGTTAGATTTGGAACAGGATTGAAAGTTTCGGCTCTAGTCTCCAAGCCTGGGAGCTGGACTAATGGGTTTAGGTTTTGTGTTTCAGGTTTAGAGCTTCGGCTCCGGTCGCCAGACAGCTCAGTGAGAGCTATGGATTCAGGTGTTGGCGTTCAGCCTTTAGGGTTTCTTCGGGAAGACTACGCATGCATTGGCTGTTAAGCACGATGCCAATGCTACGTAGAACTGAAAAGCAAGTGGTCCAAGATACTGCTCGCGCTAAACCCTATACACAGAAAGCCGAAGGCACACTTGTCCGGCTGTTTGCCAATCACGCCTTGTCGTGCTCCTGTGGTCGACACCTGCCGCAGGGCCCTTACTGAGTGGATCGAGCGAGGTGGGATAGACCTAAACCCACAACCCTAGGTTTCTCGACATAAGTTCCGACGCAAGGACTCCCACATGGCAGTATCGGAAAGGTAGCCGGAAACCCGAACAGGAACCTTAAACCCCCAAAGCTCGGCCGCCTGAAGCCTCAAACCCTATGCATGAAAGTTTAAAGCCCTAAAACCCCGAGTCTGACCCACATGGACATGTCCTAACATAGGGGACACCGATATGGGAGTTTCCGGAAATTACTGTAGGGGTGCCTTATTTTGGGGTCCTTATAACAGTTGAGGGTAATTCTCGGAAACTCCCATATAGGCTCAAAATACGCAGACCCCAAACATGTATGACCCCGAAACAAACATGGATGACCCTGATTCCCTAAGGCCCCAATGCCCAAAGCCTCACGTCATAGGCCTGAAATCTTCAAACCCAAAAGCCGTAATGTAGGAACCTGATTAAGAAACCCTGGGCCTATATGTGCCCGCGCTCCGCGTTCTCGACCCCCCCCCCCCCCCCAATGGTATCCCCCCCCCCCGACCCGGGCGACCACACAACAAGAACAAGAACAAGAACAAGAAGAAGAACAGCAGCAACAACAAAGCAGCAGCAACCACGCGGAGGAACCACAGGAACCACAGGGGGGGAGGGGGGAGACAGGAACCAGAAGAACCACAAAAGGGAGGGGGAAAACCAAGAGGAACCACAGGGGGGGGGGGAACCACAGGAACCACAGGGGGGGGGAGGGGGATTACCATGGGGGGGGGAGGGGGGGGGGGTGCGCGGATGCTGGCACATATAATCCCAAAATAGTAGGCTTCACACTATAAGGAATCCTGATAAAGGCCCAAGGTTTCTTAATCAGGTTCCTACAGGATTATAGTACCCCTATAGATCCCTTATAGTAACCCTTACAAACCCCTTAAAGGAGCCCTTAGGCCCAAGGTTTCTTAATCAGGTTCCTACAATATAGACTATAAACCTCCTAAGAGCCGGTGGCAGTCAGAGTCGAAGATATCCGGAGGGTTGCGGCTTTGAGTGCTGAGGAGGGTTCAAGGTAGGGCTGTTTTAGGGTTTAGGGTTTAGGGGTCACAGGCTGGAGTTTGGGGGGTCTTGGATTTTTGGGCTTTTGAATCGTTTCGAAGTGTTTGGTTGAGGTTTTGGTGGGGCTTCAGCAACTGGGTTGAAAAGTTTACGGCTCGGGGTTCTGGGTTTTGAGGTTTCTGGCTTGCTGGCGGCCTTGACCCCAAACCTGGACCTAAACCCTACAACCCACAGAAACCGCACTTTTCTCAGGGTTTTGTGTGTATTTAGCAGTGAAGTTTTGGGCTTGACTGAGGCCCGAGATCGCGCGTTTCGTAGGGTTTGGGATTCGGGGGTTGACTCGACACGAGGTGTGGATGACTCCAGATGTGGCAGCATCCGTCCTGGAGGGCGATGTACTCTGCAACTTTGCTGGAGACCAGGGTTTAAGATTGGGATGTGGGGGGTGGTGGTTCGGGGCCGAGACGACATGTCAATGTCTGATCGCATGAAGCATTGTTTTGACAATCGCTAATTTATCGTGCCACCACTAGAGCAACAAGGGTAACAATAGTAAACACCACAGCATTTGCAACGGCTCTGGTCATCGTAGCAGTGGCGAATTTCATAATCCTGACGACAACAATAAGAAGAAAGCAATCACAATCAGAATCACCATCACCATCATAGCAACAGTCACAATGACAGTGACAAGGCTTCTGCTGGATGTACACCGGGAGTTGGGCTAATTTCGAGTCTTTGGCCTCTGCGATTCGGCCTTTAAGGGCTTCCGGCGATTACTATTACTATTTCCATTACTATTACTATTACTATTAATATTATTAGCGGTTCCACAAACCCGCTATCCCGAAAGCCAAGCACGAGAGCCCTTGCATCCGAAACATGAACGGTTATATGGGTGGTTGTCAATATTAATTAGGGTCCATTTTGTGGGTCCTTACTTTAATACGGCACCAAATATTTAGGGTACCCAAAAAGGGGCCATAATTTTGACAACCACCCATATGGGGTTTAGGGCTTCCTAAACCCTGAACCTTAAACTCGAAGACTGGGTGGGGCTTTGGACAAAATCGGCGGTTTCAGTGTGTTGGGCTAGCTCAAAGCGCAAGACTCTGAACTCAAAGACGGAGAGCGTGAAGTCAAGATCCAGATATCGTCGAAACCCCTGCCGAGCCCCTAAGTTGCTGATGCGAACAGAATCATAAGCAAGCCCCTAAACCCTAAACCCCTAAGCCCTAAACCCGAAACCGCAAGCGCGATCTCCCAGAACACAGCTCCGACGACTTCCGCAAGCTCCGAAAAAGCTGAGGTCTTGCCGCGCACCCTTCCAGGGTGCTGGGACTATCGCCTCCTGTCTGGCCCGCCCGCAAAGGATAATGTAGGGGGCCTTTAAAGGTTCCTATAAGTGATCGTTGAAAGGGTATGGAGGGGTTCTACAGCCCTTAGGGGTTCTATACTTGGGGGTTCATGGGTAGCTATAAGTAGGGTTCTGGGTTGTCTATAGGGTTCCTTTGAGGGTTCTATAGGGCTTAGGGGTAGTTATAAGTGGGGTTAAGGTAGGATAACTATACTTATAACCCTTATTTGGGGACATATAACCCCACTTATAACTACCCCTGAACTTCCAAGTATGGGGGATCAAAAATGTGGCTCTATGATATAGGTAGGGACCTTAATAATTGGACTAGGGTTCGGGGTTACCACAATTATAATGAGGAGCCCCTAAAACCCTATTCTAATTTTAACGCCGCTACATTAGGGTGTTGGTTTTTCTAATGCGAACAATCATAGTCATAGTCACCAGATGACTAGGCAATTAACAGTAGCAATAATAATGTTGAGAATAGAATAATTGTAGTAGCGAGTTCAATAACCTCAGCAGTAGTAATAATAGTGAAAATAACAAGAAATCATAGTAATGCTAATGTAATGAGAAGGAGAGCAAGCAAGGCAGCGATATCTGGGGTAATATCAATTACGAAAGAACAAGTGATGATTTTATAGAACCATAGTCCAAATACGAATACTACTGCTAATACTAATACTAATGTCAATATGAAAAATCTAGGGGTCGGAATAAGTAGCAACAGAAACCCCCTCAAGTTCAGTTATAGCTGCCCTACATTGTATCCCGAATCCTGTTCAGCAGAACAGGCCGAGAGCGGGAGCGAGGGAGGTTGATGTGCATGTTGTTTCATGTTGACATAGTCAGAAACATGGATGGATGAATGGATGGATGGACGGATGGATGAACCGCCGATCCTAAACCATCAAGCCTGAGCCCTCAGCCAGCAACCCTGAAGCCTCACACCCAAACTTTCGACGCGAAACCCTCAATCCTAAACCATACAAGCCCTAAACCCTAAACCCCTGAAACGCCTCAACCCTAAACCCCTGAACCCCTAAAACCCTTAAACCCCTAAGCCATCAAAGCTCGATCGGCTGGAAGGCCTCCAACACGGATCCCGATGGTCTTCTTTTTCGGTCGCCCATCTGTCCCTGGGCGTTTGCAGACATTGGGGTTAGGCAATGGCCTAGAAGTCTAAAGCCCGATGCCATTTCTGCACACTGAAACAACTCGGTAGCGGTTGGCCTTCATCAGCTGCTTGCGATATTGGCAGCTCAGACGAGTAAGTTACTCTGTCTAGGTGCTTTCCTTTGACAAGGATCCGCCCTGTTTACTACCTGATGACTTAGACGATGGAAAGTCTATCACTCACAGACCTCTGAGAAACACCATGAGGAGTTGAGGGCAGACCCTTAGAGTAGTCGGCAGTTGGAGCAACAGGTAGAGCTCAGAGTTTTTGAGATCCGGAGTTCGGGATCAGAGTTCATAGGTTTGGGATCCTATCCACTTTAACCAAGAAAGCCACGGTTTAGGGTTTAGGGTTCAACAAACCCTGTGACACTGGATTTTGAACATCTAGTTGACACAGGTGGAACCCCTTGTTTAGGGGCATCTCTGTGGCCTTATTGCGGCTATTCCGGTCCTTCCCTGGGTTGTTGTGCCGCGTTGGCCCGGGAAGTCTGATGACCGCGTTGTGGGCTCAGGGTTTAGGGTTTAGGGTTCAGGGTTTAGGGTTTAGGGTTCAGGGTTTAGGGTTTAGGGTTTGGGTTTAGGGTTTAGGGTTTGGGGTTTAGGGTTTAGGGTTCCGGCATTGGGATTTGGGGCCTTCCTGTGGCTACGACGGTCTACGATGAGAGCTGCACCCCGAAAATCAAGGGCGACTCACTAGTTCCTCGGCCAAACCTCACACCCCTATTGGACCCAAAGCCCCTAACCCCAACCCCAAAGACCCTAAACACGAAACCCTAAACCCCCAAACTCGAAGCCCTACTGCAAACCCGAAGCCCTAAACTCCTCTACAGTAGAAGCCAGAAAGTTGGAATATCATTATCGTAAACCCTTTAAGGGCAAATTATAGGGGATCCTACCATTAATCCATATTCCAACTTTCTGGCTTCTACTGTAAGCTCCAGGACTGCTTGTTTAGGAGGAGGAAACTTCGTAGCCGAAGGGGTTTAGGTTTGACCTCTTCCTGACTCCTGACCCTGGACCTGAAATCCTTTTAGACAGGGTCTGAGGAGTTATAATAGTGTGTCCTCAAAGTCTCTCAAAGATTACATCCTGCTACTCCCCAAAACCTTATCTCCACCCACGAAACTCTTGATATCCGAAAGTAATAGGTACACTTCAGAACCAGCCAAGAAATCCTGGAATTTTTAAGACACCACACCACCACAGCTCTAAACTTGAAGCCCACAAATCTCCAAACCCAACACCCCCTAAAGGAATCCTAAGAGGAGCCATAAAGGAACCCCTGAGGTCGGCTGCCCGACAACTTCGATCCACTTCCTCTGGACCCCGGCTTCGCTGGTTCGGGCTCTTGGACGTGGGGTTGAGGGAGAGAGTAATATAGGGGCCTAAATAATTTCCAATACTAGTTTGGGGATTGCTTAATATATTTATAGTATAATGGGCCCCCAAAGCCTATTCCAGTTTTCAAGGCCCCTATACTACTGCAGCGGCCTTAAATGGCCTTGATACTCAGAATAGGCCTTGCTGGGCTCATGGGGTTCACTGAAAATAGATCAGGGTTTTGGGGCATGTCATGCCGGGTATAGGTTAGGAGCTGCCCCCACCCTGTAATAGCGGTATAACAGGAGTATAATAGGGCCCTAATATAATCCTATATAATCCTTATGGTCACTATTACAGGGTGGGGGCAGCTTCTAAGGTATAGGACGTTTCGTCTTGCTTTACGGCTTACGGGCCGAAGTGCCAGTGGGTTTGAGGTTGCGGGGCTCCAGGCTTCCGGGCTGAGGGTTTCGTCTATGATGATAGTACTAGACACCATCGACAACGGAGCCGAGCTACTTTGAGGGGCTTCGGGTCTAGGGGTTTAGGGCTTAAGGGTTCCGGGGCTATGGAATAGAAGGGCTATGGAATAGAAGTACAGACAGTGAGAATGGCAGATGACATTGACGATGATAAGGGGTTTAATTGGCGGTGCTGTCCCTCGTGACCTGAGAAACACAAATAAGACGAATCATAATACTACCGACAGATTTGTTTGAGGGCTTGGTGACAGTTACTTATGACTTGCTGGGGGAAGCAGATCACACTGACTCAACAAGCCCAAGTCCATCTAAGTCCTCTACCGCATCAAATCAAAGCAGGAGTCTCAAGTCCCAAGATTACTAGGTAGGGCTTTGGGACATTTTATATTTCCCCTTATTGGGCTTAAGAGGATCTTATCTACTAATATTTTTCATAGGCTCTAAAAGCCCCACCTAGATTACACAGGCCGTCCTGCCGAAGCATCGAAACTGCGAACACCGCATCTTTGTCCAACGACTTCCGGATTCGCGGTTCCCAAGGCTTCCTAGGATGCCCAGTAGTACCCTTATTCCCTTTTTGTAGTCCTAGGTTCCTTATAAAGTTACCCAATACCAAAAAGAGAGGCCTTTTTATTCTTAGGTTACTGGGTATCCTAGCCAAACAAGCTCCTGAAACATGCATTCCCCGACTACGGAGCCCTAAGCCCAGAACTCTTAAGGGGACCTTACTACAGTACCCTGTAAGGGATCATCAGGGTCTGGAGTCTTAGCGGCTTGGGGTCTCTGGGCTCGGACTTCGGCGCTGCTATAGGGACCTAAATAATTACCGATACTATTGCAGGGGTTCCTTTATTATGAGTATAGTATAATATACGCAAAGGCCTTATTCTAATTACTACGGCCCCTATGTTACCATCCCTAAACTCAAAGCCTTCCGAGGTACACGCACCGGGTTCAACTGCAGCGAGGGCTACGCTGGACCCATTCAGACGATCTGCCGTGACACCTACATGTTGAATGGGAGCTTCCTCGCAAGGTAAGCGGGTAGGTTACTACAGGCAATGGTTTACGTAGGATGGTTTTGGGCCTAGCAGGAGAGTTTGAGGTTTTGGATTCGCTGAGCTCACCAAAGGCTTGGCGGTTGACGGCACTGTCTTCAGCGCGATGTCGGAGATCTGTTCAGACTATGCTAAGCCCCATAGCCCTAAAGGCGGAGCCTGAAACCATCAACAAGAACTCTAATCCTCAAACCTAAGCCCCCAAACCAGGAAGTCTGAGGAAACGAGATCCTGGCATTTAGAGTCCACCTGAACTTTCAAGGTAAACCCTGAACCGACAAGTGCAGGGCTCAGGGATTGTTTTGGACATCTTGGCTTAATTGGAGGCTTCTATCTCTACTTATAACTACCCATGAATCCATGAAGCTCCAAGTAAAGACCCTGAACTTAGATAGCCAATGGGGGAACTTTAAACTTTTTGGCCTTATATACTTGGTCTGTCTTAGAAAGTTTAAACTTTTTTGGGCCCGGTTATTGAAGGAGAGAGTGAACCCCGCAATCCCACACAAACCCTACTGAACCCAAGGCTTCCGGGTGTAGGGAGGAAGGGGGGGAGCCGGAGGCCCCCCCAACTCGGAGGTCCATGGGTAGTGATAAGTAGGGTCAAAAGGGGGTCTAGAGGGTTCCTTTAAGGGTTCTATAGGGTTTAGGGTTTAAGGTAGTTATAAGTAGGGTTCAAAGGGGGTCTAGAGGGTTCCTGTAAGGGTTCTATAGGGTTTAGGGTTTAAGGTAGTTATAAGTAGGGTTCAAAGAGGGTCGATAGGGTTCCTTTAAGGGTTTTATAGGTTTTAGGGTTTAAGGTAGTGATAAGTAGGGTCATAAGTAGGGTAACTATACCTATAACCCATGTTACGGGACTTATGACCCCACGTAGGACTACCCCTGAACCCTAAACCCTAAACCCTTATAGAATCCCTATAGATCCCTTTAAAGGGCCCTTTAAAGGGACCCTACTGAACCTCCGAGAAGAAGCCGAGAAATGCCAGGAATGGAGGAAGGCTGTCGCATCTTCACGTAGCCGCCTCAGTCCTCCAGGAGCCTGTGAGGTTGAAGGCTTTGGGTTTGGGGCTTTACTGTAGGGTTTAGGGTTTAGGGGTTTAGGGTTTAGGGGTTAGGGTTTAGGGTTTAGGGTTTAGGGTTTAGGGGTTTAGGGTTTAGGGGTTAGGGTTTAGGGTTTAGGGTTTAGGGGTTTAGGGTTTAGGGGTTAGGGGTTTAGGGTTTAGGGGTTAGGGGTTTAGGGTTTAGGGTTTAGGGTTTAGGGGTTAGGGTAGGGGTTTAGGGGTTAGGGGTTTAGGGTTTAGGGTTTAGGGTTAGGGGTTTAGGGTTTAGGGGTTTTTAGGGGTTTAGGGGTTAGGGGTTTAGGGTTTAGGGGTTTAGGGTTTAGGGTTTAGGGGTTAGGGGTTTAGGGTTTAGGGTTTTACTGGTGTTTCGTTTTGGCATGGTGTATCAATCCTTCTTGGAGGTTCAGGGGTAGTTATAAGTGGGTGATAAGTCCCCTAAAATGGGTTATGAGTTTAGTAACCTTAGTTTTTGCCTTTCTTATAACTACCCATGAACCTCCAAGTTGTCTTGGGTTTAGTCCGGTTCTATGTGTCATTTATTGGGGGTTTTGTTGTTTGAGGGGTCTGGAATTGGGGTTCTGGGTTGTTGGGGTTTCGAGCTGGCAACGGGATAATTCAAATCATGCAGCCCTTTACTGCGAAGTTTCCCAGACCAGAAGCCGTGCAGCGGTACTCCGTGCTCCTACATAGGACATAGGACATGGCTATGCCGACTACTAACGCGGCCCCTCATCAAGAAGCCCCCTCCTGGAATGGGCTACTGGGAGGTTCAGGGGTAGTTATAAGTGTGGTTATAAGTCCCTAATATGGGTTATGTTTTAAGTATAGTTACGCTACTTATGACCCTACTTATAACTACCCATGAACCTCCAAGTATATTACAACCTACAAAAAGGCATCAGCGAAAAGGAGAAAACTTCGCATTGGGTGAAAACCCCGCAGACCGTTAGAAACATAGAGAAAAAGTTAGGTCAAATGTATTATTATTTGGGTTATGATACTCGGGGGTATTTACGACATGAGCTGTTAAAGGTGTAGTTTTCGTGCATGGGGCGAGCATCGTCGGACTTTGTTATAGTTTCCAACCTAGTGTAAGGCTATTAAGCGCTTTGGGCTGTAGTATTTTAGCAGCAGATTATACTCTTGCTTGATTGAAAGCAAGTTCCCTCATGCAGATTCCATGCTGTTTCGATGATGACCATGCTGAAGCACACGGCTCAGGGACGTTCTGGACTTGGGTCGTTTTCCGGATGCTTTCGCACGTGTATGTTTCAAGCGTGTTCATAGTTCGCCCGCCGTGGCCAGCACGGTTTGTGTCTTTAGTCTGGTGTTCGCAAACCGGTTTTAGTGGTTGACAATACATACGCTTCCCACTAGCCATGGCACGGAGGTTGTCATCAATCTGTTCGTTCGCGCTCTTGCGATTGTGGATTTTGGCTACGTTGACGGGGTTCTCGACGAAGAATGTGTTGCCGCATGTCTTTATTCAGGTCCACAAGAATCAGCGATTCCCAAGGCACTTGGTCCAGAGGCATGCCTCTGCTCCAGGGCCACCTTCTCCCGATGCCATCACCGGATTGCTTGGCAGCATGGTTACCCAGAATCCCAGAAAGATGAACAAATGAGGGAGCAGCTTGCCAATGCGGTGTCGGCGGTCTTGAAGGCGCAGAGACCTAAAGACCATTGCATTTCCCGAAGCCCTAAGCCCCCACTTCTCCGCACTTTTCGCCCGCGGTTACAGTGGAGCTTTAAACGCATCAGCCCCAAAACCACAACGCCTGAGGCCCAGAAGCAGGTCGCGGAGGCGGAGGCGGAGGCCCAGAAGCAGGTCGCGGAGGCGGAGGCCCAGAAGCAGGTCGCGGAGGCCCAGAGGCAGGTCGTTGAGGCCGGAAAATGCTGTAAGGTGCAGACTTGCAGGTGTAGTCGTATATTCTTGTTTTTGATGTGCAGTGTACATAGCTGCTGCCTGTGCTATTAGTGCTTAACTCGAGCCTTCATACCCCAACTACGTAGATGTGTCGCAGCCTCGCACCCAACGTCTAAATTCCCACCGGAGCATTCCTTCATAGAGTGCAATGCCTAGATCGAGAAAAAGATGGTGGAAAACGAGCGTGATATCGCGGAAGACAACCTCTTGGCAGTCAAGGGCGAGCTCACTGCAAGGCACATGCTGGAGCGATTCGCAGCCAAGGTTAGGGGAGAGGAGAACCGTTCCGCAGATGAGCCAACCACAGCTACGTTGAGAACTTTGCAACAGTACCGGATCAGCAAAACAGCTCAAACGATGCAGTCCATAGTCGCCAACTGTTTCAAAATCGATGCTTCTCGTAGCAGCTCGATGCTTGTGGATTTGTACAGGGCGCTGTCAGGCCACGTTCATTATGCATCGTGGACGGGGCCGGGCATCATGCTCAGCTCAAAATTGAATGACGCCCAAAAGTGTGTCATTCTCAAGTACGCGAAACAGGTTGAGAAATGTGATGTCAGTGTCCCCTTCGATGATTTGGAAGCCGAAGAGGAAACGGCCTCCGAGCCTTGAGACATCTGAGAGCTTGCCATGCAAAAGAAAGGGCCGGTTCAGAGGATCTCATTAGGATATTGGTTAGTTTATGGATAAGGTTGAAGATTGTTTGGGCGCTTCGTGTTTTGGGTTGTGTTTTGGATCTTAGTTTTGGTGCTGGGTGATGGTTTTGTTTTAAATTGTGTTATGGATTGTTGTATTTATCGGGGGGAGGTGCTTCGTGTGTTGCGGGTTTAAAGGGTTGATTATTAGGCGGGTTGAGAAATGGGGTGAAGGGGGGTGGGGATGTGAGGTGTGGGGTGAGGAGGTTCTTTCGTTTTGTTGCTTCGGGGTTTTGTACTGAGTTGGTAGGTGCTTTGTGTTTCGGGTTGCATTATGGGTTTCTGGGGAGTTTTGGGAAGTGCTTTGTGTTTTGGTCTTTGGAGGGTTGAGGTGTGCGGGAATGAGGTTTTTCGGAAATTGTTTGTTTTGGGGTTCGGTGTTGAGTTGGTAGGTGCTTTGTGTTTTGGGTTGTGTTATGGGTTTTGGGAGGAGGTTTTGGGAATTGCTTTGTGTTTTGGGTGGTGTTATGGATTTGGGGGAGGTTTTGGGAAGTGCTTTGTGTTTTGGTGTTTGGGAGGGTTGATTTATTAGGCGGTTAGAGAATTGGGTTGACAGCGTAGGGCGGGGGTCGGGATGTGAGGCGTGGGGTTAGCTGGTGCTTTCGGTTTTTGTGGGTCAGGATTGTGGTAAGGTGGTGGATGTAGGTAGTGTTTTTGGTTTGGGTTGTATCAGGAAGGTCGGTTTATTAGGTGGTTAGAGAATTGGGGTCAAAGCATAGGGGGGAGTATAGGATGTGAGGTGTGGGGTTAGCCTATGCTTGCTTCTTCGTAATTAGAATAGTTTGGGAGTAATACGGAACCCCAACAACAGTATTGGTAAATATCTAGGCCCCCATGTTAGTGTGGCCCTTCTGGGAGTGACTTGGCGGGACCACGAAGCATCAACTCCGGGAGCGAAAAAGTATTGGATTTTGGAATCAGCCTGGCATCCCCTAAATCCAGCCACAGTTAGAGTTAGAGGTTCATGGGTAGTTTTCAGTAGGGTGAAAAGTAGGGTAACTATACTTATAACCCATGTGAGGGACTTATAGCCCCACTTATAACTACCCCTGAGCCCAAAAACCTAGACCCTAAACTGCACTAACTCAACCACACCCTGGCCCCAAACCATTAAATTGAACGTGGACCTTAAACCCCAAATCCTTCAAGCCTTTTCAAGAAAGCCTGTTGGTGCCGACCCGCGCGGGCACAACGATCGAGAGAGAAGCTACTGGGCTTAGGGCTCGGATCTTGCGGTTTTTCGGTGTAGATCTACCTTACAACCATTAGTATGCTGAAGCCGTGGGAACAAGCTTACGCGAAAATGGGCCTGGGCAAGCATTTTGCTGCCGAAAGTCTCTTCAAAACCGCTCCAAGCCTGAAAAAGCCTAAACCCTAAACCCCTAAACCCTAAACCCCTCAAAGCTTGAAAAACCCTATACATCCCGCAATGGGTTTAGATCTTGCCATGAAGGTTCCCGGATGGCTGCGCACCTCCGGTGCCCTGTCGGGTGAGCAGCTTCGAGGACCCCGGCCAGGTAGAGTTATGCTTATGCTGGAGTTGGTTCTAGTTTCCAAGGGCAAAAGGAGGGACCCTTAATCAGGACCCCTAGATATATATCCTTAATATAGCTATTGTATAATCATTATATAGCCCCATTATAGGGTAGGGGTCCCCATTTCCTCTTTGATAGTTGATGTTGTAGATGAGTTCTTGTGGTAGGTGTTGGTGAATGGATGTAGGATGGTGTAGGTGCGGTTTGCTGTGCTTCTGCAGCCATTGCTACTGCTACTGCTCGCGTTCAGATTGCACTTGGTGCAAGTTGCAAACTGAAATGGCCGCCTTGAACCTGCAGAGGTTTCCGCCCACAGATCAGTCGTCGTGGAAGGTGGCGTCGGCGGAGGTGGTGATGGTGACACAGATTTTCATAACTTTCTCAGACGCGCTTAACAGCCGGATTTTCCGGATCTCCCGACTGAACCGTCACGAGCTCGTAATCTAAGACTTACCAAGTTTTCATATTGAAGCACCGCTCCTAAGCCTGAACCCAAACTCCAAGTACCTGTGTCTGAACCTGAACACTAAACACCTAAACCTCAAACCCTACACAGCAGAGTGTGTTCTCTAGTTCCAACTGCATCCTGAGCCCTCCTGCTGTTGGCATTGCCTTCATGTTTATAATACTGTTGCCAGTTCGCACAAGGCCGCTGCCTTCGGAAGACTATTGCAGGATACTAGTAGCCCTGAGACGCTCCACAACATCTGAAGCTACAGCGGGTTGCCCCAAAGAGATTGTAAGTCCCCTCCTCAATACTAGCATTTAAATCTGATACTGGTTCTTGTTATTTCTGTTCCGCTCGAAAACCGTTTACCTCTGTTCCGTTCGAAGACCGTTTGGTTCCTTGCATACTGTTGCTCGTAGTACCGAGCCTTGGCGAATTCTATGGAGGACACGGATGGCCGTGCAGGCCGCCCAGGGTATTGGGGCTTGCAAGCGATTCCTCAAATTCTAGGACTGTCAGGCTGTTACGATTCTATAGGTGTCTGCAGGGGTTCCTGTAAGTGTAAGAGGCTTTCGGGTTAGTGGTTTGCGGGCTTAGGTCTTGCAAGGCATCGAAGAGAAGCGCTCTCGTGTTTGTTGGCTTGAGGTTTAGGGCTTTTTTTGTCGTCGGAGAATGGGCTGGGAGCTTTAGACTTATGCCTATGGGACTAAGAGCCATGTTCTGTTCATCCTGGCATCCGAGCTCTGAAACACCGTCTTGAAGCTGTATCGGTTCCCTAGATACGATATAGCATGATCGAGCGTCTCACTCTAGTCTAGTCGGGTACGATATGTGACAGTGCTGTGAAAAGGCGTGCTGCAAGAAAGCGCATACTATCACGCAATGTATCAATCAAGAGACTCCATATCACCGGAGCGTGGCATAGCGAAACATAGCCTTACAAAGCAGAAGTGCTCTAATTTACAGCTCCAGCAAATTTCGTCGGTGAAGCAGCGAAGAACGGGCAACAGAGTCGTCCTGTTAAATGGTATCCCTAGTCTGAAGTGTAACAGTCCACGGTTGGTTTCGGGTTCAGGGCAAAAGTGTGCGCTTGCCATTGACATTGACATCCAAACTCGGAAGATAAGTGAAGCAAGCTGAGAGGAGATCGACTTTCAGGTTTACCCTGCAACCTAAACCTCAAACCCGAGCCCTAAGCCCTGAAACCCCGATAGCCCTGAAACTCAAAACCGAAAACGGTCCTTCTATCACGTTTTTGCAGAGTATACTCCAAAACCCGATTCTAAGCATTAAGGCCAATGCTTGCGGGCTGAGAAAACTGTTGTATAGCACTCACGGCTTACATTGTGAGAGACCCTAGACCATAGACCCTAAACACCCTAGACCCTAAAGTTTCTAAAGGCCCTAAACCCTAAACGACCACAACCCTGAACCCTAAAGACCCTAAACCATGAACTGCTTAAACACAGGCTTAGGGGCCTTCGCGAAACCCTGAACCCTGAACCGCACCTCAACACCTTAACCTCAAGTCCCAGACTCCAACCCTACTACACTTCCATGCCGACAGCCCCAATTCGTAAAATTCCCAAAGAGCCGGCCCGTTTTGTTTTAGGATATGGGGTGTTTAAAACTTTCCGTAAATAAGGTGCTCTTGTAAGATCCGAACATACAGCGCTCCTAGAAACTCCAAGTCCTAACTTTAGTGTACCTACAGGCTCCATTGTAGTTCCTCTTTGGTTTTCCCTTATAGGATCCTAAATATGACCCACAAGAATGTACTACAATGGAGCCTACAGGTAATTTCAAGAAGCCCCACATAGGTGGTTGTCAAAATTAGGGTCCCCTTTTGGGTACCCGAAATAATAGGTGCCGCATTTTTAATAAGGACCCAAAAAAACCCCTAATTTTGACAGCCACCCATATATCAAAGGACAGAGATGGTCCAGAGGATATAGGGTTTCTGTGATTCCTTTCGAAGCCACCCGAAGCCCATTGTGCGAACACCCCAAACTCCAGACCCCAAACCCCCCCCCACATGTCCGCAGGTTTCATCTCAGGTAACCTTTCCTTCGGACGTAGCCAGTTGGATGAGACGCTGAATACGGGGCAGGCTACGGGTTCAGGGGTTGTGGGTTTAGGGTTTAGGGCTGCGGGGTAAAACCCTGAAGCTTACCTTGGCTTTTCGAGCTGAGCCGTTTCTTTGTACTTTGACTAGACCCTAACCCAAGGCCTTAGTTGTGTAGAGTCTGAGTTCAAGCCTGGCTTCTAAAGTCAACACGTACAAGTCGTAACATTATTCCTTAGGGCTTCTTTTGAAAGTTATGGTATAATATACCTCTTAAAGTTAATCAGGGTGTTTGTGTGAAGGTCTTGCCCCCGAATCTCCGGAGCCTTCTGTTGAGAGCCTGGGAGAGAACCTCTCTGGATTTAGGACTTCACGGTTGAGGGTTTAGGGTTTAGGGGGAATTTTGGGGGCTTCACAGGTGTAACAAGGGTTTAGGGAGAAAGTTTAGGCTTTATGGGTTATGCTTCTCGCAGACACAGCAAGCTCCCTGCAACACCACAGTGCTTCGGGGCTGTTAGTGCAAAGTAGTTTGCAGACAGAAAGCCCCAAAATCACTTACGGCACCCGGAACCAAAAAAAACAGCCCCAAACGCTGGCCAAGATGTTCCTTGTCATAGTTATAACCCTAAACCCTAAACCGGCTATAGAAATATGAGTGGTGGTCAAAATTATGGTCCCTTTTTGGATCCTTACTATCATACGGCACCTACTATTTAGGGTACCCCAAAAAACAATAATTTTGACAACTACCCATATGTAGCCCCAACTGAAACCCCAAACCACACCTGCCAGGTCTGAGCTTCTTGCGAAAGCAGATGTAGCGCTCCTTAAGCCCGAGATCCTGAAACGCAACATCGCTGCACGATAATCTAACTGATGCAAAATGTACTACATGATGGGTAAAATATGTAAAACATAACCTGGCAGACATGATAAATGAGATACAATATAGAAGACGTTAGCTTTCTCAACGAGCTCCACGGTCATTGGCGCCTTCATGCCGTCAGACAGCTCAAGTCGGTACGCCTGCATGTACATGTTTTTAACTTGTGTATTCGTTATTACATATACATATATAACCCTGATGGAAGCTTGAATTGAACCGCAAATTTGCATCGCACACTGCTTTCGATAGATCTCCTTCAAGGTTTGCACCACCTACACCCTAAACTCTAAACCGTACGAAGTAATCAATCGAAACTCCGGCTAGCCGCGAGAGGCTGCACTCCAGGGTTCAGGGCTTAGGATGTGGGGCCCTTGGCATTTGGGTCGCTCTGCAATTATAGGGTTTCCTAGAACATACTACAAAATACCATCATATTCTGCAATTATAAGACTTCCCAGAATGTATTGCAATATACCATAATATTCTGCAACTATACCAGAACATCCCATAATGTACGATACAAAAACTGCAAAATTTCGATGGCCTCCTACAACTTTGGAGGTCCCAAAACAAGGGGACCTGGCATACAAGTCGCATCCGCTTGGAAAACTCTGGCGTTTTAAATTGTGGAGTTTAGGGTTTAGGGTTGAACTTCAGATTGGGCATCTGTCTGCAAAAAATGTGGACACTGACTGTAAGATCTCAGAAACGAGGGCCCCAGTTCTGTAATAGTGGTATAATAGGAATATAATAGGGCCCTAATATAATCCTTATAGTCACTATTACAGGGTGGGGGCCCAGTTCTGTTCGGGGTCTGGTGAGCCTGAGTGCGACTTTACAGCAAGCGACTAAACAGTCGAAAAAAACCGACGATTTGGAACCCATAGACTCCAATATCCCTTAATTAAGGAATATACCTTAGAGTATAGTAGGATCCTTAATATGATTTAAGGAATATTCCCTAGTTAAGGGGTATTGGAGTCTCTGGGAACAACGTCCGATCGCGATTTGGTTCAAGGGAAAGCCTCCAGGAGAAGGTTTGTTAGACTGCTTCCTTGCGAGAGAATATCCCGTCGAAGCAGGTGCCTGCCGCTTCGGGGGGTTTGCAGATAGAGAGTTTCTGGAACAGCCAGCTTGCGATGATGAGGCCGCCATGAATTTTCCAAAGCCCTTTGCAACAACTCACGACTCCCTTCCCCATTTCCTCCTGAGTTGCTTTGACCTACCTCCGAGAGCCTATTATAGTATACTCGAACGTATTATGGAATATTATGGCGTTAAATATGATGCCCAAGTTCACCCCAGACATACTTCCCGAAGGGCTCTCCGCAAGACCTGCGACCTCCGAAGCTCCAAGCATCCAATCCCAACAAGAACGGATTCCGAGATCAATGAACCCAGGGCTTAGGGTAATGAAGCGTCACCCCTGAGGGTTGGGGGTGTAGGGTTGGATGTACTTGGAGCTTCAGGGTTAGTTATAGGTACGGTAATGGGTCCCCCGAATATATGTTGTAAGTATGGTTACCCTACCTCTAACCCTACTTATGACTACCCATGACCCTCCAAGTAGAATCTAGACCAGCAACACGTAGCATGGTCCAGAGGTCTGAACAAGCGATAACTTTGTTTGAATGCAACTCCTGCAACACTACAGCTCAAGTAGTTGTACCTTATATCCCATATTACTACATTCCTTGTTTCGACGGGACTCTATGCTAGAGCGAACCCAAAAATCTAAATCTTCGGAAAGTGACCGTTTCGGAGTTGTTCTGTTTATGTGAAGTTTCATTTCGGCCGATGGGTTTACACGTGAGGTTCAAGCTTCGAAAGTGCGGTATAATGCCCTAAAGTTTAGAGGGATGGAGTGTCGGCTTCTTGAATAGGGCATGTACAGGCCTTGCGCATGTTCGTGTTGTCCTGCTTTGGATGCACAAACGAACGGCCAAGCTCCGAAAACCTGAACTCCTTTATAGCCTGTAGTTCCGGGTGCCCTGGTTTAGGCTCACACAGTTAAACGAATACATGGGTGGCGCGCTTGTCGCATGGGCCCGACGCTCTCGAAGAAGTTGGAAGAGCAAACCTGGTCTTGAGCGTTCAGAGTTAAGCGGCAGTTAGGGACAGAAGATACCATGGAGGTCTAGATGATTTTGGATACCATGCCCGCTTGTTCTCTTTAGAACTAGATTGGCCAGGGAGGCCGCAGGCTAAGCTTTAGGATCTTAACTGGGAGCTATTGAAAACTCTGACTCTTGAAACCTCAAATCCACTTCAGTCCTTGCACCACAAGCCCTGAAGCCCTAGAGCCCAGAGCATAGACCCCCAAGTTCAAGCCCTAAACCCTAAACCCTACACCCCTAAACCCTAAACCCTACACCCCTAAACCCTAAACCCTAAACTCGAACTAGAGTCAACTTGAAATCCCGGCATGCTTGCTAACTGTCATTAGCATCGTCAAGTGTTGCTGCACTGAAGATATCCTTGCCCACACACTATTCCCCAGTCCACCCTACACTTTAGATCCTAACACCTGAACGCAAACACTCTCAAAAGCAATATGGCACACTACAGAAACCTAAAACGTTCACTTTAGGCCATCATACTACGCAAGAGCCCCGAACCCTAAACCCCGAACCCTAAACCTTAGTAATATCATACTACACCAGAACCCCGAGTCCTATTGTAGTCATGAAGGCCTCTGTCTCACCAGCATCCTCATGTCCGAAGTGCCTGACACCTCAGGGTTTAGGGGTTAGGATTTGGGTGTTTAGGGTTTATGGGTTTAGGGGTTTAGGATTTTGGGGTTTAGGGGTTCAGGGGTTTTGGGGTTTAGGGATCTAGGGCTTTAGGGGTTAGGGGTTTAGTGCACCAGGCGCTCACAGCGAGTCATTGGTTCGCGATGCTTGCCAGCCCTCTTCTCAACGAAGGATCCTCCAGAGCTCTAGGGCCTTTGGGGCTTAGAGGGTTTTGGGTGTAGAATAGGATGAATGCTTGCAGGATTTGGGGCGAGTATGAACTCTAGGATTGAGGCTCCGAGGGTTTAGGTGTGTGTAGAGTTTTGGGATTGCGGATTGGAGCCTTTACGGTTGAGGTTGAAAAGCGAGGAAAGGCCTGGGCTTGACCTAAGATCCCAGATCTCTGAAGCTCTACACCCTAAACACGAACCGTGGGCCCAAGTTGAGGCAGCTTGGTGCTAGGATCGCTTGGGGTTGTTCTTCGGTGCTCTTGCAAAGTTAGCTAGGTAGGTCCGTGGGTTCGTTTGTACTCGCATTCTTGTGTTGAAGGGTTTCGTGTTACTCTAGCTGAGGAACATAATTCACGGAATTTCGTGTCCCAACCTAGATAAGAGTCGCACTCGCGAAGCTTCAAAGGAGCCGGCAACATCCATGTGCCTTAACGGAAAAGGGCGGTTTGGATAGCAGTGCTTTATGGTTTGAGACGACCCCGTGATTTAGCTTGGAGGCTTGGGAAACACAGGACCAGGGAGTTGAAGCACATGCTGTCAGACACAAGCTCAACATCACCACGCACACGCTCATCTGCAACCGACGACCTGATGGCGGTTTAGGGTTTAGGGGGCGTGAAGTTTTGGTAGGAGTAGCACCGAAGGGTGGCAATGGCAGTGCTGAGGTGCACACTCAAGCACACACCATGCCGGAAGTGCGGTGGAACTCAGTCAATCAACGCAGCAGCGGCATGAGCAGCAGCAGCTGTATGGTGGACAGTTTACTGTATGTACGCATCTTACAACTCATAATATGAAGACTGTTTCTGACAGCAGCTTCGGAATAGTAGCAGTGGCGCTGGCCAACTTGGTAACTCGAAGTAATCGTCGTAGTACTTGGACTATTACCCTATATATTACACCCAAAACAGTCCTCATGAAGCCCTTGTTTTCGAACTGACTCTAAACCCTAAGCCCAAAACCCTAAACCCAAAGCCCTAAACCTAAACGCTTCCTTCTGACCGATCCCCTACGGTTGGGACTTGGGAGGATGCATCATCGAGGCCGCCAGGGCGGAGTGCATTTTGCCACCACCAGGCCTGGAGACGGTTTAAGGTTTAGGGTTTAGGGGTTTCATTGTTTAGCATTGAAGGTGTAGGATTTGGGGTTTGGGATTTGTTATTCAGGGTTTTGATTTAGGAGCTTAGGGCCTAGGAT